TTGAAATCTGTGTTTCTGAAAAAACTTCTCCAGGCTGATACTTGGTTGATCCCTATACAGATGGATGGAATTCTAGGTTGGAAATATTTTTCCCTCAGAATTTGGAAAGCAGGGTTCCATTTACTTTTGTATTCATTGTAGCTATTGAGAAGTTTAAGTTCAGAAGGTTCATTCCTGATCTCATAAATGAGCTGTGATCTGTTTGATCCCTTTGTCATTTTTTTTTTTTAAGAATCTTACTATTCCTAGACATTTGGGTCTGACATTTCATGATTACCTATTTGATGTGAGTCTTTTATATTCTCTTTTGCTGGGTATTGAGTAAATCCTTTCAAACTGGAAACTCATGTTCTTTAGTTCTGAGAAATTTCCCAGATTATATTCCTGTTGCCAAAGAATGAAAAACCAAATTGCATGTGATTTTGGGCTGCATACAACCCATTTCTTGCTTAGTATTTTCTGGGGTCATCTTTGCTTATTTTCTTTGAATTTAATTCTTGCCTTTTCTTTAAAGCACTTTTTAAAATCAATTATTATGGAAAATTTCAGGCATACACAGAAGCAGAGAGAACAGTATAAAGAATCTCCTACACCCACACCCAGCTTTATCAGTCATCAGTATGTGGCTAATTTTATTTCACCTGTACCTTCTACCCTGACTTCCAGTGTAGATATGTATAATTTTACCCATAAATATGTTCCTATGTATCTCAAGAAATAAGGCCTTCTAAAAAAACATAATTACAATATTATTAAAAATACCTGAAAAATGAACAATTCCTTAATATATAACATGTGATTAGTATTCACATTTCTCTGATTACCCTATAAATGCCATTTTATAATTGGTTTTTCAAATCAGATCCATACAGGGTTTATGCATTGTAATCGGTTGGTATCTTTAATCATTTGTTGAAGAAACAGAGTAATTTGTCCTATAGAATTCCTCACATTCTGGGTTTGTTGATTATATGCTGTAATGTTTAACATTTATTCTATCCCTGTATTTCTTGTAGCAGTATCATCAGACTTGTGTTCAGTTTTAGGGGACAGTATTCTTTTATAAGTAATGGGGTATATTTCCTTTTGTATTACATAGATAATGTCTGGTTATTCACTTTGTGTGATTTTAAGATTGATGACGTGCAAATTAGCCAGTCTGTAAGCAATACAGTTGATTTTGTCGATTAATCTTTTATCTTGTAATCTTGATGAGCTTACTTTCTAGTTGTAGCAACTTCTTAATAATATTTCTCCAGGACTTCCTACATAAGAGATCATGTTGTCTGTGGATAAATTTTTTTTTAAAGATTTTATTTATTTATTTGACTGAGAGAGACACAGGAAAAGAGGGAACACCAGCAGAGGGAGTGGGAGAGGGAGAAGCAGGCCTCCCACTGAGCAGGAAGCCCGATGTGGGTCTTGATCCCGAGATCTTGGAGTCATGACCTGAGTTGAAGATGGATGCTTAATGACTGAGCCAGCCAGATAACCCTGTGGATAAAATTTTTATGTTTCCTTTCCAATCTCTGCCTTTTATTTCTTTTTCTTGTCTTATCAAAGTGGCTGGAATCCCTGGTCAGTGTTGAATAGAAATGGTAAAAGTAGACATCTTTGCTTGTGTCCCAGTCTTGGGAAGAATGTGTTCAGTCTTTTACCAGTATGGTCTTAAACTATAGGTTTTTCTCAGATGCCCTTTATGAGGTTGTAGAAGTTCTCTTCTGTTCCTAGTTTTCTGAGAATCTTTCTCGTGAATGAATGATTTTTGTCAAGTTCTTTTTTTCTGCACTTGATGAGATGATCTTTTTTTTTTTTTTTTAACAGTTGTTAATATGGTGGCTTATGTTGATCGAATGCAAACATTGAAGCAGCTTGGCATTCCTGGGCTAACCTACAGTTGGTCATGGTCTGTTACTTTCTTTATATACTGTGGTTTTGATTTGCTAGAACTCTATTAGTTTCTGAGTTTGTGTTTATGAGGTTTATTCATCTTTGTTTTTCTTACAATTTTTTTTTTTCTGGTCTAGTATTGGGGTCATGCTGGCCTGATGAAAGGAATTGGGAACTGTACTTTCCTCTTTAGTGTATTGGAAGGGTTTGTGTGGAATTGGTATTGCCCCACTGTCTTCTTTTTTGCATTGCTTCCAGTGAGAAATCTGGTATTGTTCTTAATCTTTATTTCTGTACATGTCTTTTTTTCTTCTGATTTTAAGATTTTCTCTTTCTCACTGATTTTGAACAATTTTATTATGAGGCATCATTGTAGTTTTCTTCATGTTTCTTGTGCTTGAGGTTCTCTGAGCTTCTTCAATCTTTTGATGTAATTTTTGGAAAATTTCAGCCATAATTTTTTCAAAAGTTTTTCTGCCTGCTCCTCTTGGGGGTCCATTTTCATGTATTTTGATCCTTTGATGTTTCATTTTGGATAATTTCTAAGGCTGTGTGCCTTCATATACACTGATCTTTTCTCTGTAATATCTAAATTGCTATTAATCCCATCTAGGGTATTTTTCAGTTCAGACAATTAAAAAAAACTTTTAAGTTCGATTTGGGTCTTTTTAATATTTTCTGTGTTTTTACTTAACAGGCTCGTGCTTTTTTCTACCACTTCAACATACGGAGTATAGTTACAGTCGATGGCTCTGATGTCTCTGTCTACTGATCATAGCATCTCTGTCATTTCGGACTCAGTTGGAACTGATTGTTGGTGTTGTGCCCCTAGCCATGGGTCATGTGTTCCTGTTTCTTACATACCTGATAATACTTGATTCAGTGCTAGCAGTGTCCATTTTACCTTCTTGTATCCTGGGGAGTTTTTATTTCTTTCCATATCTTTGAGCTTCATTCCTGGAATGCCGTTGTTACTTGGCTGTAGTTTGATACTGTGGAGCAGGATTCAGGAAACTGCAGGGCGAGGGCCAGCTGTGGTCAGGCCTGTTCAGTAACACTGGGTTTTGTGCTACAGTCAGAGAGTGGATGAGACCGAGAAACCAGATGGCCTGCCAAGCTTGAGATTTATTACCTGATCCTGTACAGAAAAGGTTTGTTGTTCCTTGCTTTTAAAGGCTTATCTTTTAAGCTTTTTGGCAAGACTGGGGCACCTTGGAGGGTAGGGCTACATGCTCCCCACTCTGAGGCAATTACCCTCCTTAGCACTGTACCTGATGCTTGTGTCTTAGAAGATTTCTTCATTTGGGCTTGTTGATTGGAACCATTCTGTGTCCTGTTGGGTATCCGGTGATTGTTCCGCCTGCTCCTTTCCAGCGGTTCTCTCCCTCGCTCTGGGGTCTTTCTTCACATGCACATGCTGCTTAATACTCAGCGACAGACTTGAGGGGAATCTTGGCAAACCATGGAGCTCCCTCTCAGTGGCCTGCTTTCTGGCCTGTGGACTCCACATGTATCTTCTCCAGTACTCGGCCTTGTGGATTCCAGCCTCCCTCGCCTCCAGCACTTCTTAACTCTGCCTGGTCAAATCATTGAGCTGTGTTTGGGTTTTCTGTGCCCGTGTCACCAGCTCTCCACAGGCAGTAAACTGGGCAGGTGTCGCAGTCCCTCATGTGTTCCCTTTTCCTCTTCACTGTTGGGGCTGCTTGTCGTCCATTATGTTATAACTGTACTTTCATATGTTTTGTCTGTTTAAGAATTTTTTGAGGGCCACGATGGGTATATCTGGTCTCTGACTCCATCATGGCTGGATGTGGAAGCCTTCAACTCTTTACCTTTAATAATGAAAGGTAGTAATCGTAAATTCAGTGTTTCTGTTGCTGGAGAATGTCCTGGTTCTTTCTACTGCATTTCCTGTCTTAGGGGCTCTTTTCTCTACTGACATTCTTACTTTGAATTACTAGAAAAGTTTCCCCTAATACCGCTCTCCCTTTTCTTCCCAGCCATAGATAAAGCTGTCAGAAGCACAGTTATCATGGAAATAGAAACATGTAAATTACTGACACGATAAGCTTATTTCTTGCTGTAGCCATTCAGAGTATCGATTTGTCACTGCCTTGGGTGCTTTCAAGTGAAGCTGTGCTTAGATATAAAAAGTTTTAAAGCCCACTTTGATTCTATGTGAAGCTCACAGTTTTTCCAGTGCAGTTCTAGGTGTTCGTCAGTTGAAACTGTGGGCCTCTTCTCGAACTCTAAGAACCCTTTAGTGCAGTATTCGACATGCTTAGATTTGGACATTGCCGACCCGCTGCGGGCCTTGATACTGGTGTTTGTTTTTCTTTGGTTTCTTACTCTGATTTCATAGCTGCTACTGCATGTACAAAATCAGCAGTTTTAAAATAATGTGCCATGATTATTTTCTCTCTCTAATTATCTCTAATAAAATGAAAGGGGGGGGGAACCCCAAAGTGGTAACTTTGAAATCAGGTAGGAGGATGACTTGAAAGGGATCAAATGGGATATCAGTACGGGTTTTTTTTTTTTTTTTTTAAAGGCTTTGGATATTGTCTTGCTTTTGGGGGATGAGCTTTTTCAGAACTGCTTTCCTCCATGCAGCTAAGAATAGAGCAAACTTTGTAGCATTTTTTCTCCTAGGAGGTAATTTTTCTTGCTAAGTATGCCATAAAAAATTGAAGAATGATCTTAATTTCTCATTTTAAAATGACTGTCATACTGAGCCAGACTATTTAACACTTCAGAGTTAGAACACATGGATTTGTCAATAAATTTAAACGTGATGGTAGTCTCCATTACTACTAAGTTGTTTGAGTAATATATTATATTCACATTTTAAATGGATATTGATCCTCATTCAGTGACTGAATTGGAGCATCTCAATTCTTATAAAATTGCTGATTCTTTTCTACTTTGTAGGTATGCAGCCGGACATCAATTCCAGCCAACATTCCACAGATTTTTCTTACCTTTGCTTCTTTACACAGTACTCTTTAGGAGGTAATAGTACTTTGTGCCTCCCAAAAAGAGCAAACAGAAATTGTCTTTAAAACACCAAACTTAAAATCTGTGACTTTGTGTTGACTTATGTCTTGAAGGTACGTGAGGTTCATTGAGTTGTCCTTGTCTCAGAGGAAGTTCTGTCAGGGCTGTCAGCAGCTGCTGTTGCCAGATGACTGGGAGGAGCATCAGGAGCACCGGGTGGTAGCTGATATTTCTATCACCCAGTTGAAAAGGCCCAGTCAGCTTCTTTATCCACTGGAAAACAAGAAGACAAATGCCCAGTATCTGTTCACTGATCGGAGCTGTCAGTTCTTGGTAGACCTACTTTCTACCCTTGGATTCACAAGAGTCCTGTGTGTTGGAACACCGAGGTATGCTATATGATTTTTTAAAGACTTCTACTATCCCCACTATTTAAACTATAAGAAAAAATGATCACGTAGTTATTTACTATGTTCTGGGAAATCGCATGCAGTTTCAAATAAGCAAGAGAAGTATAAAGCACAGTCCCTCTCTTGAGGAGTTCGTAATCTACATTATATTTCAGAGAAATCTTTGTAGATTTCTGATATATGACAGGAGATTCCTTCTGATTTGATTTTTTAATTGCTTATCATTTTAGACTCCTCTTTTTCAGATAAGTTCTACCTTTTTAAAAAAACGTTTGAAAAACCGAAACCTTGGTTATATCTGCCAAATTCTCTTCAGTGTTTCATTGAAATATTAGAAATACCAGGAGAACATTGGTGGGGTTGTTTTGGTTTATTTGCTTATTATCTGTGGCATTTGTGATTCCTCATTAAGTTTGCTTTCATGAATTGTTTTAGGTTGCATGAGCTGATCAGATTGAAAGCATCAGGTGAAAAGAAGTCTAACATTAAAAGCCTTTTATTGGATATCGATTTTAGGTAGGTTTATAAAGTCTGATATTTATTCTTGTTCACTGTCTCCTGTTTCTGTTTAATGTTTTTCTCTTATTTGTTGTTTATTACCTGTTGCAGTCCTTTACTGTTCAGAAGTAGTAATTGGTTAGAAGCCACCTTTTTAGTCATATAAACTCCCCTTGTAATCTTCCATATTTCAAACAGAAAGGCAGTGGATTTCTTTTGTTGTTGTTGGGTGTGCTTCCTAAATTTTTCAGTGAATGTGTCTCATTGACTTGGGCTTGTAATTTAGAGATAAATTCTTACTGACTGAAATTTCCTCTCATACACTTATTTTTCAAAAATAAATCTGAACTTCTCCCAGGATTTTGTTTCATCATGTTTTAATATATTTATTTAATGCATATGTATATTTATTTATTTTAATTCATTTTATTCTAATTCTTTTACTGTATTTTACTTTAACACATTTTATTCATCTGGTAAAACACATTTTACCAGATGATGTGCATATTGGCTTTCACTGGATATAGCCTGAATTCAATCAGGAAATAGGTCTTAAAGCAGAGGATTAGCAGACAGCTGGAGTCTGAGGGAGAAGGTCAGAATTAAATAGCATCTGATGTGTTGGGACAAACAGAGAGGAGCACATGTGGCCCTTTAGGTGATAATTTAGAAGCAGATGTGTCCACCCACAGTCTCTGGGATCCTATAAACTTGAAGTACTTTTCCTACTTTCTGCAGTTGTTTGAAGTCTTAAATTGAGACACAGTGCACTGAAAACCCACCAAGTTAAGGTGTATGTGCCAGTGGTTTGGGGTATATTCATTATGTCTTGCAGTAATCACCCCCATCCAATTCCGGAACATTTCCATTACACCGAAAAGAAACCCTCTCCCCACTTGCTGTGATGGTCAGTGATCTGGCTTCTGTCCCTGTGGGTCTGTCGGTTCTGTGTGTGTCCTGTAAATGGCAATCCCCATATGTGACCTGTGCTTGTGGCCTCTTCCATGTGCCGCTGTGTTCATCCAGCTCACGGAATGGAACAGTACTTTACTCCTTTCGAGGCTGTATTGACGTTCCACTGGATAGATGTATCAGATTCTTGTTTTAAATACCACATTCCTTTTCTAAAGAATGACTGTTAAATTATTGTCAGTGTATTATTTTAAAGGTAGAAGTTTAACTCTGGGGTTCTTATCATAACAGTGCAAATAGTAGCTGGTGTTTGCATTGGGTCTTCACACTGAGTGCTTGTCCTGGGTGAAACCCTGCTCTCCCTCAGTCAGTCCTCACAAGAGTCTCCCCTGTACAGTACGTGCTGTTATCCTCCTCGTTTTCCAGATGTGAAAATCAAGGTACGAAGAGGTGAAATAACTTGACCTAACAGTGATGAGTGGCCAAGTCAGGATTCAAACCCAGTCATTGTGGCTCCAAAATTAAGATACCCTCTGGGAATAACTTGCTTTTAAATTTGTATAGAAGCTTTTTTTATGTGGCCTATTTCTCTCTTGTCCTAATGTCTCTCCCTTTCCCCATTTTCCCCCATGCCTGTTCCACAAAGGTTCACATGAGTCAGCAATGGGTTTACAGGTTATTCATATATTTGGAATAAAGCTCTCCTTCATCAGGCACCTTTCCTTGGAGCCTGGAGATCTATTTATGTCAGATAGGACGTATTGGCTCACATGACTGGAGCCTAGGATCTAGCAGGCCTCCATGCAGGCGAGGTCCTGGGCCTTGCCTGGTGTTGTTCTGGCTGCATCTTTCTCTTTCCGCCTCTCGTTCTTTCTCGGGATTGGCTTTATGCTACCATTTACTTCCCGCTCACTGCCAGGGATTTTGGTGGCAGCAGATTTTAGCTCAACTGTCTAGGAGACAGCTCTCTTTCCTGAGAGCCCCAGCAGCACAGCTCCAGGGAGGAACTGGCTTGGCTGGAGCTGTATGCCTATTCCAGAACCTTCTCTGTGGCCTCACAGGTAGAATTCCCTGGCAGCCCTGACCAAACACATTGAGTGGGTTCACCAAAGGAAACCCTCTCTGACCATAGGTACAGGGGAGACACACACACACACACACACACACACACACACACGTACGTCACGTGTCCAAAACTGAATTAGTTAACATAATGTGTATCAGTTGTCAGCAGCACTCACCTTCCTACCTTTGGGACTTTTACTTCAGTGAAAATGGTACAGGGTTGTTTTTCTAATAGTACCGTTCTTTGAAGTTACCACACAGTTTGTTTTTTTATTTCATTCAAGTTTTTTCTAAGCTAGTTGTGGTGGACTGGTTTCTACACAAACTAGAAAAAAATCAGTGATTCATCTTGACTTGTTCAAATTTCAAGGATCTCGTTTACTTTTTTTTTTTTTTTAATAGCAGCTTATTAAAGAGACATGGTCTTTTATTCTGTCACCCAAAACATTATGGATTTTGGCTTTTTAGACCTTTTTATGCATATAAACATTTTAAAAAGTAAAATCAGTCTTTTTTCCCCCACCAAATATCAGGCATATTTTTGTCTTTTAAATTGAGACGTATTTCACATAGAGGAAAGAGGTTTTTAGTATTCTTCACAAGGTTGTGCAGCCATCACCACTACATAATTCCAAACATTTCCCTCATCTTTGATGGTGTCTCCATCATGGTCCCCAAGAGTGACCTCGCCTCTTTCCCCGCTCCCCCAGCCCTTGGCCATCACTAATCTACTTTCTGTCTCTATAGATTTGCTTATTCTGGATATTTCATAAAAATGCATTCATACAATATGTGGCCTTTAGTATCTAGCTTCTTTCATTTAATGTAGTATTTTCAAGGTTCATCAAGTTATACCTTCTTATGGCTAAATAACACTCCCTTATAAGGATATACCAAATTGTGTTTATCCATTCATCAGTTGTTTATGGACATTTGTGTCACTTACGCATTTGGTTCTTTTGAATAATGTTGCTGTGAACATTTGTGTGCAAATTTTGTGTGAATATAGGTTTTATTATCTCTTGGGTATTGTGCGAATTTTTTAGGGCTGCGATAACAAAATAACCATAGATAGGGTGGCTTTAACAACAAAAATTTATTGTCTCAGTTCGGTGGCTAGAAATTCAAGATCAAGGTATCAGTAGGTTTGGTGACTTCTGAGGTCCTTCTCCTTTGGTTGCAGGTGACCTTCTTCTCACTGTATTCTAACACGGTCTGTTCTCTGTGTGTGTACATCCCCAGTTTCTCTTTGTGGGTCCAGATTTCCTCTTTCATAAGGACACCAGTTATCTTGCATCACAGATAACCCTAATAACCTCATTTTATTTTAATTACCTTTTTAAAAGGTCTTCAAATACAGTCATAGTCTGAGATACTGGGGATTAGGCATTCAGTAGATTAATGTTGAAGAGTTACAGTTCAACCCATAACAGGTATTTATCTTAGGAGTGGAATTGCTGCGTCACGTGGTAGCTCTACTTTTAACTTCTTGAGGAACTGCTAAACTATTTTTTAAGGTGACTACCATTTTACATTTCCACCAGCAATATATGCAGATTCCAATTTCTCCACATTCTTGTCAGCTCTTGTTATTGTCTATCTGTATTTTTAAATAAATTAATTACTTATTTTTTTGAGAGAGATAATGAACACAGGCAGGCAGGGGGAGGGGCAGAGGGTGATGGAAAGAAAGAATCTTAAGCAGGCTCCATGCATAGCATGGAGCCCAATGCAGGGCTTGATCTCAGGACCCTGAGATCATGACCTGAGCTGAAATCAAACTCAGCTTGGTGAGCTTAACCAGCTGAGCCTCTTGGGCGCCCCTGTTGTCTTTCTAATGTGGTATCTCATTGTGATTTTGTTTTGCATTTTATTAATGGCTCATGATGCTGAACATCTTTTCATGTGCTTATAGGCCGTTTGTTTATCTTTTTGGAGAAGTGTCTATTCAACTGTCCATTTTTTAATTGGTTATTTGTCTTTGTTTTTGTTAAGTTGAAAAGTAAATAGATTCTGGATACTAGACTACTAAAAATTAAATTTTTTTAAACATTTCATTTTGTATTGTTCATTCCTAGCGTCCTGATTTATTTTTTAAAAAACGGTGATAAAACACACATTGGTTAAAATTTACCACGCTAGTTATTTATGTGTACAGTTCAGTAGTGTTAAGTAAGTTGAAGATCTTCACGTTGTTCTACAGCCAGTCACCAGAACTCTCCATCATAGCTGAATTACTTTTAATTTGTAAGATTTACATGGACCCTTAACTCTTAATTTAAGCTATATGTCTTTTAGTTTTATCTTTCTTGAGCCTGTATATTAAAATTTCCTAGACAGAGTAGGGGGATGTGGATAAAGTTATTTTGTAACTTGTTGAATATACTGATACTTTTTTCTTTTTGTATCTATAAACTTCTGTGTATATGTTGGAAACAAAAACTGAAGGTATTGTAATAGCTTAGCTGCTTTTATACGGAGTCAGTTCTGTAAAAGGTTGACATTGGGTATTAAGAGAGAGCTCGTTGGGGTACCTGGGTGGCTCATTCGGTTGAGTGTCTGACTCTTGGTTTCGGCTCAGGTCATAATCTCAGGGTTATGAGACTGAACCACACATTGGGCCGGTGTGGAGCCTGCTTGGTATTCTCTCTCCCTCTCCGTATGACTCGTCCCGGTAAATTAAAAAGAGAAAGAGAGAGAGATTTCATTTTATTGAAACACGTTAGTGGCCAGAGTGAACAGTCTGTTGCCTCTACTGACGATATTGTGGGGTGTGGAGTAGCTTCAGATTTTTCACAAGGACCACAATTAAATCAGGAACAAATTCCTATGTGATATAGAGTGACAGCAAGTAGTTACTTTGGGCACTTTGACTTTAGTTTGTCGTCAGCCTACAAAAGGTCTGTCCAAGGCTTCAGAGAACTACCCCAGCTCCAATGTTACATATGCTATAAATATCCTCTTTAGGGGGTCTAAGATGCGTAGTTAACATTTGCTAAGATGGATTTTTATATGCTCCAATTTTAGCATGAAAGATGTGAAACTCTGTTTGGCAAACTATCATCCAAATAAAGTTATATCAAAAAAATGGATTTCTTAGGTTCATTTCATGGACTAATTTTATTCAGCTCTTGATTACATTTCCTGTGTATAGAGCATGTTTCACACTTGGTAACTGACTCTCATTTAAAGAGAATGAATGGCCAAATTAAATGAATGTCCTTTTCCAGTTTTCAAGTGCATGCATTTCTGATTGGTTTTGTTTGCCTTATTCAATACAGAGAATAATTCTTCGAGGCCAATTTCATTTTAAGAGGGTAATGTTCAGTGATTTTTCATAATTTAAAATATGAAAAATTATGCTCCCTTGTTTGTATTTGATGGAAACTCGGAGCTGAAATCTTGGCTTTTTTCTCTTTCTGACTCTGCCTACTGCTGCCCAGAATGTTTTGGACAAGTGTGCTGTGCTGAATTTTATGTAAATAAAATTTTCTTTTTTAATTTTTAGAAAAAGACTATTGTATCTTTGAGAAGCAATACAAAAAAAATGGAGAGGGGGTAGAAATATATTTTAAAAGGAATTCTATTTTCCTTTGTTCACACTTAACAGCAATGCAAGAAAGAAGAAAATCCTCAAATGATAGTCGATCCACAATGGTACTGGTATTGAGATATACTTATATATAAAATAACTGATATATCTATATTATCTGTTATTTGGAATTTAGTTAATTAGGAAGACATTTGTTTATTGATGGCAATTGACATTTTCCCAGCATTTTGGAATGTTCATCAGGTTACAGTCTATTTCAAATGTTTTTTCAGTTATCCAAACCTTTTGTTTATTTCTTCAGTGCAAATTTATGTTTTATGAAATCCGCAGATGTACTGACAGTATCTCAAATGATATTAGGGGACATTGTACTTAGAATGAACAGCTGTTCTTCTGTCTCTACAGAACAAGAAGAAATGGGTTTAGATTATAGGAGGAGAAATTTTGCTTGGACATAAATGTAATTCCCTAACATGAGGGGCATTAAGACGTAAATCTTTATAGCCGATACTTATTAAAGTAGCAATGCCTAACATTTCAGTATATGCTATGTAGCTGCTTTGTATTAAACACTTTACATATATTTTCTCATTTATACTTACCAAGTCCAATGAAGTAAGACACTATTATTTTTTTCCATTTTGTAGATGAAGAAAATGAGGCTCTGGTAGGATAACTAACTGACTAAGGTTACATAGGTAATAGTGAGACACCTAGTGTTTTGTTTTGTTTTGTTTTGTTTTGTTTTTTAAGATTTTATTTGAGAGAGAGAGTGTGTGTGAGAGAATATAGGAAGGAGTAGAAGGGGAGGGAGAGGGATAAGCTGAGTGTAGATCCCTGTGTGGGGCTTAATCCCACAACCCCAAGATCATGACCTGAGCCAAAATCAAGAGCTGAATGCCTAACCGACTGAGCCACCCAGGCCCCCCAAGACCCAGTGTTTGAAACCAGACTGTCTGACTACAGAACCTGTATAACTTTTAACCATAGTGTAATATGAAAGGGATAAAGCAGGTCTGTCCATTAGACTACATGCTCATCATGGGTGGCAAGTCAGTTATGGGCAGTAAGGGAGGAGTAGAAGTAGAAGCAAAGTGTCACTCTCACGATTTGGTTAAAGAAGTTGTATAAATAAGCATGTGCCCCTGGATTTTTTTCACTAGGTTATGGATTCTGTACAAGGATAGTGTGGTTCGTGTGTGAATTGTTTATAGCAAAATTTTGGAGGTTCACAATGCTATCCTGATATTATACAAAAAATTCAGAATTCAGCAAGAGCTAACAAGACCCAAATATATAAAAAGGGGGAAGATGCAGAGACAGACAATACAAATACAATTAAGGTGTAAAGAAAACTCAGTCTTGTAAGAAATCAAGTAAATGCAAATTTAAACCATAATGTGCTATGAATTTTTAGTAAATTAGCAAAAATTTATAAAATGTTAATGCCCAAAGCTGGTACTTTCATTCATTACTGATTGCATTTTAAAGTAGTATCTTAGAAGAATAAAATTGTTCAATCAGTAAATAAATATCTCTCTTTCCTGGCACTAATTCAGTAAATATGAAATGCACATGCTTATTTTTCTTATATATTGAGAAGCATATTTTATTGAGCTAATCTGCAATAGACAAGAAATGCTTTGTATTAAATATTTTTTTTGTTAACCACGGAAGAAAATAATTAACAGCTGTTGAGCCAAAATGTTGATTCAATGTTTTTCTTAAAATTATTAAGTATGAGAGATGTATTTTAATTGCCAGCCCATCTCAAACTTAAATTGTATAACAATCTATCAGTAATATCATTGTTTCTGTATAATTCTGTAGTTTGAAGGAACATGTGAATTTTGTATGTGAGTCTTCTGTAGTTTTCTCACTGGTTTATTGACTTGGGAACATAATTTAAGTTTGATATTCATTCATTGTTACTGACTCCCTGAGAGTTTGGGAAAGTATTCTTTATTTCAAGAAACTAAGGAATGATGAAGTTGCTTTTATTAAGGGTGTGATTTTATGGTTTTAAAACTTAGTTTGTATTTACTTACTATATAGCCATAACTGGGGAAATAACTACAGTAATAAATTATTTTACAGGTATTCACAGTTTTATATGGAAGATAGCTTTTGCCATTATAACATGTTTAACCATCACTTCTTTGATGGAAAGGTAAGAATTGCAACCGTTATCCTTGTTATTGTGGAAGAATAAGTTCCAGAGTACCTCCTTTCTTATTTTTTAGAATCCCTCAAGATCAAATCGTGGCTGTTGCACCATTTATTGATTGGCTTTTTTTTTCCTTCATCCACTGAGTGTGTATCGAGCATCTAGAAGTGATTGTGCTATTCTTCTTTTGTGACTTTTCACTGCTTTTTGGATACAGACACACTTTCTTACCACGGCCTCCAGGGCTTTGCCCGATCAGACACCTGCCACCCTCCAGTCTCTCTTCTCGTTCCTGCTCTGGGGTTTGTGTTTGTGTTCTGGATGTATGACTCATCTGGGGCTATCTTTTCCACCACACAGGCTTTTGCCCATGCTGTTCCCTCTGTCTTCTAGTTTTTGTTTACCGCACCTCATCCTTCAAAGCTCTGTTCCAAGTCGCTTTCTCTAGGCTTCCCTTAACCCCAGACAAGGTCAGGCTGTCCTCTGTAGCTATATGATACTGTAATTAAATAACTCTGTGGTTAGTTGTTTGATGTCTGCCTCCCTGGTAAATTTCATGTCCCAGTTAAGGGGATTCATAGTTTTATTAGACTAATTCTTAAAAATTAGACAATTTTGAGAGTGACCCCTTATCTGTGAGCTCTGGGTGATAGTGTTGGTGATAATGGCAGGGGCCCTCAATGGGTAGCAGGGGGTAGCTTCTTTCAATAATACAATGTTAGTAATGTCACTATGAATAAGCAGCATAGCAGAGCTGATACTTTTACTCCTAGATTGAGCTCTTTGTGAGTCATATTACAAGATAAAAACTATACCCAACCAAGTAATCACACCTGACAGGAAGTTAGCCACAACTGTTTGAAATGATCAAGACTACCTGAAGCACATATCCATATATGCATGTAAATCAATTTTTCAAAAATTGTGAACCGTGTATAAATATATGTTGTTTCTTAAAATGTTAATGATAGAAGAAAAACCAAGCAAAACTAAAAAAAAAAACAAAAAACTAGTATCTAGGAAATGAAAACAAATTCTAAATTGTTGGTTGGGATTAAAAAATGAGTCTCCTGATTCAGTCCAGCCAATGATGCACTCCTTCCATGAGACTCAGTCAGCATTGGGGTATATATTTTTTAGCTGTGATCACCATGAAAACCAAGTATTGAAATAAATAGCAGTTAGAAATAGACATAGTTCAGTTTCCCAAAGGGCTTATGTGGTCGATAATCTCTAGGATTTGAGAACTGATTAGATGAGTGTGAAGAAGAGAGAAGAATTGAAGACTCACTTGACAACAGATGACGGTGGACTTCTCAGCTAGGCCAGTGGTGGTGGGGAAAATAGAGGTGGGTTCCGTGGGCATTTCACAGATGGAAGCCAGAAGGCTCGGTGGTAAGTGTACTGGGGTAGAAGTCACAGATGACTTGGTTGTCTGGCCTGGCTTTGTATTTCATTCTTCAAAACAGAGGAGGGAAAGGTAGAAGTGGAAGTTGGAAATGTTGGGTTTGGGGGGCAGGTGGAATATTGCTGTAGAGGTATTCAATATGGCTTCTTGGAACTCTGGGGCCTCAGGCTCCAGGGTGTGGTCAGGGGCATGTGTGTCAGGGCCAGCGTCAGAGGAGGTAAAATAACCGAGTGTCTCTTACTGCTGGATGCTGGTTGTGTATGTGCGTCTTGTTTTTCATACCATGACTTTGCTTTCTATCTTGAATAGTAATGGTGAGATAAGAGTGAAATGACATTTGAATACCTAACAGTTGCCTAACCATTGCTTATATTTTAAGAATAACATGTAGGGGCACCTGGGTGGCTCAGTGTGTTGGGCATCTGCCTTCAGCTCAGGTCACGATCCCAGGTCCTGGGATGGAACCCTGCATCGGGCTCCCTGCTGAGGGAGCCTGCTTCTCCCCTGCCTGCCATTTCCCCTGCTTGTGTTTGCTCTCTCTCTCTCTCTCTCTCTGTGTGTGTGTCAAATAAATAAAATATTTTTTAAAATGTAATATGTAATTAGCCTTTTCCTAGAAAATTCTTTTTAACTTTTATCAAAAGCTTATGGAATTATCTCTTAAGTTTCTAAAATAATGGTTGGAATGAGCTGCCAAGACTGAGCTCTACTTTATTTTTCCCAGAAGAAAACAATTGTGTAGCCCAGGCTTTCCTTTCTCTATATTTTAGGAGCAGCCTTTACATAGCACTGCAACTGTAGAGATTGATCTCCAGAAAACTATTGTCTTGGATGATTTCATGATGGGCCCTTTTTCTGCCTAGTTCCTGAGTCAAGGTTTTCTGTGGAGGCTTACCATCTACTAATCAATCGCTGAGTATTTAAGTATCAGCCAGGTGCCTGTGAAGGTGTGCAGGGTGCTTTGGGGGATATAAGCCCCTGTCACGGACCATACGCACTTCACAGCCCACTGGATTAAAAAGCAGGAGTTCCCTGTGCAGGATTTTCTCATAGAAAATCATATAATCTTTCAGGTAATAGAAAATGTCATATGCCTTAATGGGCAAGGAGATTGAAGTATGTACAGGGGATCGTTACTTAAAGTACCAAGCACCTTGGGGGCTCCTGGGTGGCTCAGTAGATTAAGTGTCTGCCTTTGGCTCAGGTCATGATCCCAGGGTCCTCGGATCGAGCCCTGCTTTGGGCTCCCTGCTCAGCTCCCTGCTCTCTCTCCTTCTCCGTCTGCCCCTCCCCCTGCTCATGTGCATGCACTTGCGCTCTCTCTCAAACAAGTAAGTAAATAAATCTTTAAAAAAAATAATAAAGGGGGCACCTGGGTGGCTCAGTGGGTTAAGCCTCTGCCTTCTGCTCGGGTCATGATCCCAGGGTCCTGGGATCGAGCCCCGCATCGGGCTCTGCTCAGCGGTGAGCCTGCTTCCTCCTCTCTCTGCCTGCCTCTCTGCCTACTTGTGATCTCTCTCTCTCTGTCAAATAAATAAAATCTTTAAAAAATAATAATAATAATAATAAAGTACCAAGCACTTTTTTAGTGGTTGAGATGAAAGACAGAATTAAGACACTGTCAGCATTGGTGGCATAAGCAAGCATCTGGTTTCCACAGGTGGCCAACATTAGGACCCTCAGCAGGTCATGACGGGACGTCATACCATTGATTCTTACCTGGAAACAAATGTACGCTATTGGTTTTTTAATTTGGCTAAGACTTTAGGTTTCATTTACTTGTTTCTTTTATTTTCCTACTTTTAAGTCTAAGGAACTGGAAGGTTTTTCAATAACATCATCTGTACTGTAAGTCCTTGTTCATGTAGGCAGGTTAAGGAAGTGCCAGGCGGCACTTGAAAAATGATTAACCTTCCTGACACGCCATCCCTTGCTCCAGGACTTCAGCGGGAAGTTAATAAAGACTGTCCCCGGGAAAGGGGATTAGGATGTTGTCGTTTTTCCTCTCATCAATTGAGTCTTCTAAATTGATTTAGTAGTAAAACAATATATTTTTTATTACAAAGTACATATGGGTTTATTAAAGTTTAAAATGCCATTAAACTTTAAAGTCTTAGGCTATTCTGTATACTGTTGATTTGCCTTCTATAGGTGAGTGCTTGAAATGACTGCGAAGTCAGTAGACTGGGGTTAGTGTTATAGGTATATCTCTTATTATCTGTTCTCCCGAAGCAGAAAATAATAAATATGCTAGACAGCGCATAATGTTAATTTTACAGTGACTAAAAACACTTCGTTAATAGCCTGGTTTCGTGGCTTGGCCAAGCTTTGTTGATTGTGGACTTTCATTCATTTACTTAGTGTGCGTGTCCAAACATGTCTATCCAACACCTGCTGCCCAGTGACGTGTGCGAGGTGACTGGTAACGCGTAGCTCTTATTAAACTGAACTCGTGGTGGACAAACCAGACAGGAAAAAAATAGGTCTTATTCGTCTTTGTGTCTCCAGTGTTTAGCTCAGTCCCCGCTTCTGTTTGTGGGATTGAATTTAGCGTTTTAGATAGTCTTCATGGGTAATGAGTTTTTCTCTCTTGGGTTACTAAATTTAGTTTTTTAATTTAACCATTTGAAATGTGTAGTCCTCTGATAGTGATGGTGCTTGAATTTGCAATTTTAAAAACCTGCTTATCAAGGAACCCAAAAGATAAAATCTCCTGGGGGCTGAATGAGAGAGGCTTCCAGATGTCACTGAGGGACTCTGGGGTGGCAGGATGGGTGAAGTTTCAGGACAAACAGTGGGACTGAGCCTAATGCATTCTCTGAATAGGATGGAGTGCCTCCCTCTAGTCTTCATTTAGAAATGAATTTTTATTTGTTCCAGGCTGCCCTTGAAGTATGCAGAACATTTTTACAGGAAGATAAAGGTGAGGGAGTCATTATGGTGACAGATCCTCCTTTTGGTGGCTTGGTTGAACCTCTGGCTGTTACATTCAAGAAGTTAATTGCTATGTGGAAAGAAGGTCAAAGCCAAGGTGTGTAATTTATGACTTACTGCAAAATAAACATGTATCTGTGTATCTGCTTCCTGTCAAATATTAGCAGAGCTCAGTGAATCAGAGCTCTGATAAAATATACATGTCTTGAGTTTTGTGTGTGTGTGTTTTTTTTAAACAGGCTTATTTGAGAATGCGAGAGACTTCATTATCATGATACACTTCGCATTATCCTAATCACGTGTTCTCAACATGACTTGTAGGTGAACATAAGGAGACCTTATGAAGAATAGGAGTGAACTGTTGTCATTTATTCAATAAATACTTACCGAGTGGCCCCTGTGTGCAGGTATTGTTTAGGTGCTAGAAATAGAGACTGAACCAGACAGATAAGTATTCCTGCCCGCATGGATCTTACATTACACGTTCCTGAAGTCTTGCCCACAGCTCTAAGAGGGGGCCCAGTTTCTGGCTCAGAGCTCTAAACTGTGCCAAGATTTGGGTAGGAAGATCGGATATGCACGAACCGTACAGTGGTTATCAGTGACAGACAGATACCCACATGGACAGAGGTGGGTTAATGGCTGGGGGTTATTATTTAGTTTAAAGTGCCTTAGGCCTTCAAAATATTTTATTTTATTTTATTTATTTATTTATTTTTTAAAGATTTTATTTATTTATTTGACAGAGAGAGATCACAAGTAGACAGAGAGGCAGGCAGAGAGAGGGAGGGAAGCAGGCTCCCTGCCGAGCAGAGACCCCGATGCGGGACTCGATCCCAGGACCCTGAGATCATGACCTGAGCCGAAGGCAGCGGCCTAACCCACTGAGCCACCCAGGCGCCCCAAAATATTTTATTTAATTAACTGTCTAATTAGTTGGTATGATCATTTTTTAGTTTCCAGTTTGCTAATTGATAAACTGTAAGAGTGTCAGGAATTTGTGATCAGGTTTCTCCTTTAATTATGCTACATAAATAATGTGCTTTGGAGACAGAATGCAAAAGAAATCTGAAACATGACTCATAGTGTTAAGTATTCCACTTATTTTCAGTTCTTGAGTCCACTGATCAGAATGGACAAAGTAAGTCAGTGTTATTGAAGAAGCAATGAAGAGCTCCTCTTCTTTGAATTTCAATGGGCTTGAATTTCAGTTCTGCCACTTATTAACTGCATGAACTTGAAAAAATGACTTAAATCTTATGGCTTCAGTTGCCCTGTCTATGAAATGGGATTATTATTATCTAATTCCAGGGGTAACTATAAGGAGGTAATATATAGAAAGTACCTGGCATTGGGCTCAGCCTGTATGAGGTGCTCTGTAAATAATAGCTATGTCCCCTGTCATTGAAGTTAATTTTGATTGTTTTTAAGAATCTCCCATGCTTCAGGAAAGATTGATTCATCCCTGAAAACAGACATAACGAGTTGTGGCAGAGCTGGGATGCTGACCTGAGGCCTTCTGCCTTCTGGCCCAATGCTTCCTGCCACCATAACGCAATGATCTTGGGGCTTCCAAGTCAGGCTCCTTGTCATTCCCCACTTAATGATGGTATCTTTGCCTTGACCTAGAATATAGAGATTGTGTGTGTAAGGACTATTCTTACATACCATTTATACCTGCATTTAATGTAAATGTAATATTTCCTTTAATGAATTAAATTCATTCATTCATTCATAAATTAATTAATTAAATGAATATTTCATTTAATATTGTAAATGTAATGTAATATAAAAGAATATTTCCATTGACTTTTGGGAAAGGTCAAGTTGTAAATGGCACTCTGGTAAACATTCTTTTCTTTTGTATGATTTAAGTGCATTGAACAATTGTAATTTCTCCCAATATTAGAGGTCTTTCAGTTACAGCTCTTTTATTTTTTGTCGATATCAGTTTCTTATTTTCTTTTCCTTTTTTGTGACCCATTAGATAGCAGTCAAAAAGAACTGCCCATATTCTGGATTTTCCCCTATTTTTTTGAATTCCGAATTCGTCAGTTTTTTCCAAGCTTCTGCATGCTGGATTACCAGGTATAGTAAATATTCTGTTTTCTGGCACAGTTGATGAATGGGCATTCTGCTTAAGTAAATATTCTGATGAGACAATCCATCGATTTTAGTAAATGAAAATATCATAAGCTGTATTAAACATTAAAATTGAAACATACATGGCTTAGTCCAGAGGTTCCTAAATGTAATTCTTAGGGTTCTGAAATCTATATTAAAAATGTAGATTCTTAGGTGCCAAAATATACATATGAAGTCAAAATTAGAGGGTACAGCCCCAAGAAGCCACATTTTACCAAACTTCCAAGGTGATCCTGCAGCGCAGCCAGGCTTTAGACTAGCTGACCTCACTGGCCCCAAAGTCATTGTTATGAACAGGAGTTTTGTCTGTTCAGAGGTTGTAGAGAAGTCAGTCGCTTTTTCTGGTCGGTGGAATGTCAACTACACTTTACTGTGCCACTCAGAGGATGCCAGGAGCTCTGAAGGGAGGTGTGTCTGAGGTGGCAGGTGTCAGAGAAGCAGAGAGGCTGAGGTCCGTGTGTGTGGGCGAGTGTGCTGATTTCAGGGTGGAGTTGACTGGCCCTCCTTCCTACCTCTGCCCTCAACTCTTGCTGCTTTAATGTCCACTTTCCTGCCTTTATTTCCTTGGGTTCTGAAGTTAACCCCCTTGTCACCATCACCGTGTGGGGTCACCAGGTGGCCACTGCTTCTTCTTTTGTAATGAGATCTTTCTATTTGAGCTTTCTGAGCAATGGACTACCTTGATGAAGGCTTTTTCTGCCCTAGAACTAAAAATGAACATGTCTTCACTACCCGTTCCAAGCTAGCACTTGGGTCTCATCTTTCTAATTTTGAAGGCATTTACCATTAGGAAAATTATTTAGAAATTCTGAAAGAAACAATGTTACCAAAAATGAGAGGGCAAACCCTACCTGTGATTCCATCCCAAGTAGCAAAGATCATAATTTGACACGTTTTACGGGTTTGTAATCATAGCAGATGAATCTGAATTCTGCATTCTGCACTGTGTCTTATGTAAGTGTACATTTTAAAATGTAGCTCCATAGTCTTTATGCTATTAATCACTTTATTTTCTTTTAAAGATTTTATTTATTCATTTGACAGCGTGCACAAGCAGGGGGGAGCGGCATGCAGAGGGAGAGGAAGAAGCAGGCTCCCCACTGAGCAGGGAGCCCAATGTGAAGCGTGATCCCAGGACCCCAAGATCATGACCTGAGCTGAAGGCAGATCTTCACCAACTGAGCCTTCCAGGCACCTGCTTTTAATCACTTTAAATTATTTCATTAGCAGGTTATATTATCAATTGTTAGCTTTTTTTTTTTTTTAGACACACAGGTTGCTCTCACCTTTATGGTACCATAAATAACACTGCCATAAACATCTCTGATTCACATAATTTTTTCCATATTTTACATAACTTCCTTAAAATAAATTTCCAAAACTGAAATAGTGTTCCAAAAATTATGTTATCAAATTTAATAGACATTTTTATGGCTACTGAACCGTATAACAGTTCCTTTCCAAAGTTTATAGCACAAGCCATTTTAACCTTGACTTCTTGAGCTCTGCATTAGGCAAAGTCCACATCCTAATTCTTCCCAAATCTGGTTTACTTTCCTTTTCTGGAGCACATAGTTCTGTTTCTTGTCTGAGGGGTACTTCTAGTATTGACATTTGCAGTACAGAGATAGCAGGCATATCCTAAAGACGTTAACTAAATAAACTATTTTCAGTTGTCAGGAGCGCCTGCTGCCTTTGACAGTGAATAATCATCTAGTACATCTAATACAGTGTCTGGCACAGAGTAGTTACCTTGCACTTGTTGAATTTTTGAAAAACAGTGTGAACTCCAGAATTGAGAAGGACCTGAGTTTTAATCCTGGTTCTGCCACTTACTTGTGAGGCCTACACATTTTATCTTGTGACTTGTTAAATGAGCAGAGTAATAATATATCTGCCTCATAAGTTCTTAGGAATTATTTGAGATAATACATGAAGAGGCTTAGCCTAGTCCCAAACACAAAGCAAATGTAGACCAATGGTTATTGCTCTCAGCATTGTCAAGACCAATCAGGTAGTCTCTGGGTGCAGGTAAAACTCTTCTTTGGGTATTTTATTATTTTTTTTGTACAGTATATGAAACATAAGGTCCCTCAGAAAACTGTTCCATGCACATTTAGAAATGAGTTTTCACTGCAGACAAGAGTTTGAAATGGCAAAGAAGCCAAAGAAAGCAGATCCAGAGTAGAGTGCACGAGAGAGGTTCATGTGGAGAAACCAGCCATGGCTTGTTTCGACGGTCTGTGTTACTAGAAAGGAACTTGTGGGAATTCTGGAGTCTCAGTTTTGAGAAACCGTTCCAAGGTCCCAGTTTACAGTGTATGGGTGAAAAAAGTTTCTCTAACTAGGCCATTTCAGACTGGGTATCAGACAAAGTGAAAAGCAGTCTTTAGAAAGGAGAAAGCCAAACTTTGAAAAGAAAAACTAGAATAAGGTCTGTGAAACAAAACAAATCTTCGTTTTTCCTGATTTCTACTAAAGAGAAGAACACTGCAGCCCATCGCATGCTCAGTTGGAGAAACTGATTTTTACCATATCTCCTGTTGTGTTTATAAGCCTTTATTTGTCATACCTGACCTTGATGTTCCGTCCTTCATTCTTTTCTTAATTTCCTTCTTTCTTTCTTTTTTGAAAATTTCTCTGGAGTTATTATCCTTTCTGAAACTTTTGCTTTCTTTTCTTTTGTTATTTTAACCTTATTTTATAGTAATTTCTTTTCTGGTGTATATTAGCTGCCTTCATCAAATGAAAAATTTGGAAGTCTCTTGTCTCCTTCACAGGTCTTCTGCCATAGACCTTGATTAGACTTCTTTCTCACATTGCCCAAGATGATTATAAGCCAGCAAATCACAATGCAGTAAAAAAACCAAAATCACTAAATCTCTTTTGTTTGAAATACTTTTCAGGTAAGAGGGAGGCAGAAATGCTGCAGATCTTCATAAAATGTAAATTATGTAGACTCTTCAGTGATAAAGCACTCGATGAGTACAGAATAAAATAGTCAGCAAAAGGGCACCGGGGTGGCTCAGTCGGTCAAGTATCTGCCTTCGGCTCAAGTCATGATCCCAGGGTCCTGGGATCGAGTCCCACATCAGGCTTCCTGCTCGGTGGGGAGTCTGCTTCTCCCTCTCCCTCTGCCTGCCATTCTGCCTACTTGTGCTCTCTTATCTCTCTGTCAAATAAACAAAATCTTTAATAAAGAAAATAGTCACCAAAGACCTAGAAAAGCAAGAGTTTTATTAAGGGCAGATTAGAAAGGAAGGATGTAATAATGAAAAGAAATTTTGACCCAGAGTTAGAAGTGTGAGTCCTAGCACACTGCCTTTTAGAGGCTCTTTAATTTGAAGAGGGAAAAGTCAGTTTATCTTTCTTGGCCTCTGTTTCCTTACCTGTAAAATAAAATGATTGAATGAGGAAAGAGATGGCAGATAAGTTTCACTTTTAGTGCTAAGCCTGATGAATTCATAGTGACTTTCTGGAGAATTTGTTGAGAATACCAGGCTCAGTGGCAGGGAGTAGTGTGTGATTGATTAGTGATGTCTGCCACAGGGGACCGGTTGGGTCGAGGTGACATTTAGGTCCTGTGTTTACCATATCTGAACTATATCACCTCACTTCCCTTCCACCAGGAACATGCTACGATCCATCTCTTGTTTCTCCTTAATCCGGGACATTTGTCTGGATTGTTAAAAGTAGAGCTTTGTTTTGTTTTGTTTTAAAGCTATCCCTTAAAAAATCATCCTATGTAGAAAACTGTTTTTCAAGGTTAGTTTCATGTTCATAAGTTAAGATATTTTGACAGGAATTTCTGACAAGTGATTGCAAATTATAAATGACAATTGAAATTCTTAAAGCCTGATGTGTAATAAATATAAACATTTAATGGGTTTGGAGTGACAAGGGGAATAAAATATATACTATATATAGATAGCTATTATTTTATTTATTTTTTAAAGATTTTATTTATTTATTTGACAGAGACACAGTGAGAGAGGGAACACAAGCAGGGGTGGTGGGAGAGGGAGAAGCAGGCTTCCTGCTGAGCAGGGAGCCCGATGCGGGGCTCGATCCCAGGACCCTGGAATCATGACCTGAGCTGAAGGCAGACACTTAACGACTGAGCCACCCAGGCATTCCTAAATAAGAGGTATGTGGGATATGGGGACTATGACTAAAAGACCTTTTTGCTCTGGTGGAAGTTGGCTGATGGTGATCTTTTGATGCAGGGAAATTAAGTAGATCACAGTCCCGAGGAAGTTAGGAAAATACAAGTACTCTGTCTTATTTCATTCATCTTTGTTTCCCTGCTGGATGCCTAGAACATAGTAGGTGCAAAATGAATGTCTGTTGACTTGAACGTCTTGGTTTCTGTATAACTGGTTTCAGTCTCATGTCACAGGAGAAATTTGCGTATAGATAAAATTAAAAGTTAAGAATCGCAGAGATTCTGTGCTTTCCCTCATTTCTATACAGTACTTCATCACATTAATCAGTTCCATGGGAGAAATTTTCTATTTGAAAATGCCTCTCATCATCATTGTGAGTGAAATGTCAGAGATAATGATGGGAAAATGGTGTATCAGCTCTACCACTAGTGATATGCAATTTGCAAAATTGTGTTTGCTTTACAGCGCTTCCATAGGACGTTTATTTGTGTGGATGAAGCTATGAAATATGGATGTATGTTAGAGGTACATTAATTTACCCTAGCAGCATGCGTTTTACATACCATATGTTTATAGTTAATTAGCACAACAAACCCGCATTTAAAAATAATAATAATCTCAATTAGGTTATGCAAAATCAAGCAATCAACCACCTTCCTGACACATACATTCTCTGACTCCTTGGGAAACCATAAAGAGATTGTTCTTTCTTTCCTCCTTTTCCATCTGCTATGTATTGTATTGCATGGAATATTCCATTTATTAGAAATCTTTCTAAGGCCCTCCTTTCCAGCATTTGAAGATCTTTGAAAGGTTCTCTTGGGAAGAATTTTTTTTTTCTTAGGACACTCGCAAGTGTTCAAAATATCTTTGTTGAATTTAATAAAGTGTCATATATTTATTTAATACATAGAGGAGTGCTTAGGGGAAATTATGAATTGAAATCATTTAAAATACTTATGGTAATATCTTAAGGTGATTTTGAAGTAAAATCTGCTTTGTATCTTAGCCTCTAATAGGTGACATATATTCATAGAAATTTTAAGTTGGAAAGAACCATTAGGGGTGTAATGTAGGCTAACTTCCCACCGTAATAATCCTCTCCACTAAATTCATGACAAGCCGTCACCTGGCCTCACTTGAATGCTTTCAGTGAGCAAAGTCCTGCAGCCTTACAAGGCAACTCAATTTATTTAATAGCTCTAATCGTTAGAAAATTTTCTCATATTGAGATAAAATATGCTCCCTATTAACTTCTAACCATTGGTCCTACTTCTGTTCTCCGAGTCTCATTTCAATTCCACTGACACCCCTTCAGTTATAAAATAGCTATCAGATTCTCCTAGTTTGCGCTTTTCTTAATAAACACCCCAACACATTAAACGACAAATCCTCTTCATTCCCATTACTTTTGGTAGAAACGAACTGGTTTTATCAGCATCTTCCTTCACATGCAGTGACTGAATGCAGCGCTTCACGTGATCTAACCTCGTCCTTTGCTTGTTACGATATTGCACTTCCGTACAGGGCGGCTGTGAGCCCATGCCAGCTTTCGCACAGTTAGCCAGACTATGGACTCATGGTGCTGACAGTTAGCCGGAACTCCCAGGGTTTGTTGTTTTGTTTTGTTTCCCCACACTGTCTCTTGTCTAGCTGGGTCTCCTATGGCACTTCCCCCCGCCCCACTGCTATAGCTTGTTGATCTCTCTTCCTGAACTCGCTCACCTGCTAACGTGGTATCTGTGGGCAGGGCCGTACGGAGAGCTTAGGAATTTCTCATTAAAGCCCTCTCTTTCCATTGTCAGTAAGTCCATACATTTTTGTGCTTTGCTTATTAAATAGAGCTAGTTTGCAAGCCATTTCTTTTGAACAACTTTTAAGTGTATTCTTGTTTAGAATCTGAACAGTTCATTATAACATATTTGAAAGTTGGGCTGTACCTTTACCAACTTCATAAAAATCTCACAGTATTCTTGTGGATAATCTAGAACAATGGTGCTCAAACCTTAGTGTGCCAGGAGGGCTTGTTAAGAATACAGATTTGAGGGGGGCAGCGTGCCTGGGTGGCTCTGTGGGTTAAAGCCTCTGCCTTCAGCTCAGGTTCATGATCCGAGGGTCCTGGGATCGAGCCCCGCATCAGGCTCTTTGCTCAGCATGGAGCCTGGTTCCCCCTCACTCTCTGCCTACTTGTGATCTCTCTCTCTCTCAAATAAATAAATAAAATCTTAAAAAAAAATAAGAATATAGATTGTGGGGCCTGACCCTCAGGAGCTTCTGTTTTGGGAGGTCCTTTGATGGGGCAAGAATGCGCTTTTCTAACAAGATCTCAGGGGCGACGCTGATGTGGCTGATCCAGACTCCGCGCTCGGAGAATTACTGATCTAAAGAAAGATGGACCTAGTGACTAGGTGGATTCTGAGCAGGCTTGAATCCAAAGTGAGAACGTGTGTGGATAGCAGAGAGGCTGGAGAAGTAGATGAGAGCAAGAAGCTAATAAACATTGAGCCTGTTAGCTCCAGCTTCAGATGCTCTGCCAAGGCTGAAAGCTGAAGTAGGGTTCTTGAGGAGAGGTAAATGTTTGAAATAGTCACAACCATTGTTGTGAATCTCTCTCTTCATCTGCATCTTTCTGTCTCTACCATATATATGCCAGGCCCTGAACTCGGCATTTTATGCACATTGTCTCATGTAACCTTCCCAGCATCTCTGAGGCAGGGCTCAGTAACCTCCTTTTCCAGGTGAGAATTATGTAAATTGGCCTCGAGGCACCAACAGGTGAGTGGCAGAGCTGCTCTCTGGTCCCCAGCCCTGTGCTTGGCCAGGGCATAAGAGGTCAAATGGTGAACGGTGGGGGGTCGAAGTAAGGCTGTGCTGGGACTTGGTGACCTGCAAACTGACAAGCAGCCGATTTCACACACAAAAATGAAAAGCTCCAGCCAAGTCATCACACATCTTCAAGGTTGGAATTCTTTAGCACCAAAAGCTGAATTTGTAATTCCTTAATAGACCTTCTTGTGAAGTCTGTTGTTTTTGGATAAAAGATTACAGTTGTTCTCTTAAGATCAGGCTATATGAATTTATCGTAACAAAGTTTACCTTTTCCATAATGGAATTTCACCGCCACCAAGGTTCCTCAGAGTCTGTTGATTAAGAAGTAAACTTTTGCTTTTAAGAATTTTGTCTTAAATACTTTGGTTTAACTCCTCTCTTGGCACCAGCTTGTTCTTTATTGGTTAAAGAGTCTTTGTAGATGTTGATTCCTTTGAGTAAATCTTCTTTTTCAATTTTTTAAAACTTTCTAGGTAGATTATGATAATCATGCACTTTATAAACATGGGAAGACAGGTCGAAAACAGTCTCCTGTGCGTATTTTCACCAATATTCCACCCAACAAAATAATCCTTCCTAGCGAGGAAGGGTACAGGTAAGATCTTAGTGAGGCCTTGTAATACATGAGTCACTGAGAATCAAGTTCCATATGTCCAACGTCAAAATGCTTTTAATAGTGACTCATATAGTTCTTCTGCTACCTTTAAATTTGGTCTATAATTTTGAATTGAATTTGGATTACACTCAGTTTTTGTAACAAGTGCCATTTACCTGCTCTGTGAATCTTCTTGAAAATGTGCAGCTGATTTAAGTCTTTCTTCCTTAGATTTTGCCCTTTGTGTCAACGGTATGTTTCCCTAGAGAATCAACACTGTGAGCACTGTAATTCTTGTACCTCCAAGGTATAGTTTCTCTAGAATGCCTTCTTATTCATATATATTTGTTTTATTTTAGCTTACTTGTTTCATTACATTTGCTTAATGTTATTTTTTTAAAAAGATTTTATTTATTTGAGAGAGAGAGAGAGTGAGCACAAGCTGGGGGAAGGAGAAAAGGGAGAAGCAGAAGGATACTCCCTGCTGAGCAGGGAGCCCAAAGTGAAGCAGGGCTCAGTCATAGGACCTGGGGATCGTGACCCAAGCTGAACGCAGACGCTTAACCTACTGAGCCATCTAGGGACCCCAATGTTATTTTAATAACATTACAATTTCTATTACTATATTATTTATTATTGTATATCATTTATTATACTTTAATACAGTGTTTCTAATTTTAAAGTAGGACAGGCTTTAAAAAATAAGTGCTTTAAAAAAAAATAAGTGCCTTCATCATTATTAGCAGTTAATTGAGTTCACTTTTTTTGTTTTTTTTTTTAAAGATTTTATTTATTGGGGCAAGAGAGAGCACAAGGCGGGGGGACGGGAGGGCAGAGGTAGACTGAGAAGCAGCCCTCCCCACCCCCCCACCCCTCCCACTCCCCACTCCACCACGCAGGGTTCAGTCCCAGGACACCAGGATCATGACCTGGGCCAAAGGCAGATACTTAACCGACTGAGCCACCCAGATGCCCCTAAATTCACTTTATGTGAGGTACTGTATGATTACTAAAATTAGGAGTGTCTCAAATAAGGCGTGAGGTGAGTGCTGAACTTTATTGAGGGTAAAATTAAGATGTTTCAAATAAGGAACTGAACCACAAGATACCATCCCTATTTTGATGAAACAGTAAGAACATACACTGCGCACTTTTCATGTACCAGGGCCTTCCCTGAGGGCTGTCCATGGATTATCTCAGTTACCACACAAAGCCCTAGTAGAGAAGTACTCTCCAATTTTTACAGGTCAGGAGGGACTACAGGGATATACCTCCTACTCATTGTCTTAAGGAGGTAGGGTGGCCCTTTAGGTGGCCTTAAATCCAGTCAGAAAGAACAGGTGAAGTTTAGATTGGCTAATATGCACAAATGATTCGCCAAAGGAAAGGCTGTATTTTTTATAACCATCATAAAGTACATTTTGCATAACTTTATCATTTTGTTATTGGTTATACTTGTTTTTAACTGTGGTAGCACATCTGATTACATGTATTTTCAGTCAGCGGAGATATTATCGGGTCCCTTATTTTAAAAAAATTATGCCCAGGTCATTTTCATAAAGCTCAAAATGAGGAAACAACATTTTATTATTTAGAGACACACACATAAGTGGTAAAAATAAACAAAGGCAAGGAAATGACCATCACAGAAACCAGAGTACGTGTTACTTGGTGGGGCAGAGGAATGCTGGATTGGGAAGGGTGCCTGGGGGAGTGTCTAGGGGGTCAGCAGTATTCTCTTGACCTATTGGGATTCATCAGTGTGTACTTCATAACACTCATTAAACTGGACTTGTAAGTGTCTTACATACTTTTCTAGGTAGTTTTAGTTAACAGATTTAACATTACCCAAACAGTACCCTGTAATCTCTATCTTTTTAGATGATCTAAAGTTCTCAAATTCAAATTTCATTAAGGATTATGCTACATAGGCACGTAAAAGTTATGAATCATTAATTCTCTTAAAATTTTCATTGAGTCCTTCTTTGTGCAGTTTGGGTTGCTTGAACTGAGGTGGACTTTCAAGTTCGTGTAGATAAATCCCCTAGTTTCCCAGTTAAGGAAATTGGGGCCCATCAAGGAGGTGTTTGAGTTGAGTGGAGAAATGCATAGATTAAAATCAAAGTATTTAATTGTGAAGCCCAGGAAAGTGAGAAATAAGGAATGAATAATTTACACAGATTTTAATAAGACATTTTAATTTTTAATTGTGGAACTTGATTTTTTAATGATACATTAAACATAATTTAAAAATTATTTTTGTAGGATGGCAGGAAATGGAACCATTGCTTTCTCTGCAAAAAGTGTGTAAAACCTTGTAAGTATTTAGACTTAGTGTTTGAGATCCTGTGAAAACATTTTAGAGTTTTTCTTCACTTAAATGGGATTTTTACTTAATTGTATTTATAAGAGAAAAAAAATTAATATAGAGGCCTATGTGGATTTACTTGCTTTTTAATTTTTGCAGTTGCCAAAATACACACTCTCTCCTTCCTGGGGAGACATGACTTTGTAACCTGCTTCAGTGTGGCATTTGGTTTGGCTCATTTTAATAAGGCTTTGTGTCACTCAGCCAGCCCCCATTGTGTCAGTGGCCTGCTGCTCATGACTCATTGAAGAAGGGCTGCACTGGCTGCCATGTATCAGAAAGAAGTTAGTTGCTTTATGTGGGATTCTGATCTCTTAACCTTGGCGTCTTTAACCAAATTATAACCAGTTACACAGATCGGTCACGATGTTTGAAGTAAACACTGTTCATGTTTCCCCGTCGTAAAGGTTGATCAAATGAAAAATTAAATGGACTTCTTCTAAAACTCAATTTTTATTTTATAGCCTGGATCCACTGTAGCATTTGTAGTCACTGTGCTCTTCCAGATCATTCTTGCGGAGCCCCTAAAGATGGCTGCTTTATTTGTGGTGAATTAGACCACAAACGTAGTACTTGTCCTAAGATCGCTACATCTAAGAAAGTGAACAAGTAAGTTGAATTCTTTTATTGCCTAGAAAAAAATTTTCTTTGTGTGATTTGTGTAAAGCAGTCCTCCACAAAAGTATGCAATAGAGGATTCAGAAGTGCTGAATTATTTCCTGTTTTTACTGTTACTTATTGTTTGCATAGATGGGAGGAGGGAGGGCACAAAGATAAGTGAAAGAGTTTTAACATTTTACAGGTAAGACATGAAAATCACCAAAATATAAGGTAGAAACTTGTTAACTTTTTATCTCCTATGGTTCATATGAAATTATAATTTGTGGGGAGAGAGTCCAGCCTTTATTGACGGACATGATATTTAAGTCAGGACAGATCAGATACAGACATATGACAGCAGGTGAGTCTGGAGAAGGCATTTCAGGTGGAATATAGTATGTAATCCCACAGTGAACACATCGGAAAATGAATTTATCTCTTTAAATTATATAAGACTTCAAAAAAACATTAACTATTTTAGTATGTAAAATTTTAATTTTTACCATTTTTTTTCCTATGCTTATTTTCACTTTCTCCACCAGTATTTGGTGTTGGTTATCACTCAGAGCGAAGTTAGACCAGTGACAACAGCATATTTTAAAAAAACATTGCTATTTCAACTGGGCGCAGTTGAATGATTACACTTAAAAAAAACTAAAAGGGATGATAGTTACTGAGTCTTCTTGTTTTGTTGTTACGAAAACCAGATAGATAAATTAACATTACGTGAGAATTGCGATCAGCATAAAATTTCTGAGCCATCTTATGACTTGTGATTAAAAAAAAAATTCTTCGTATTTGAATTATCTGATGTTATTGTAACTATTTATGGTTATATTAGAATTCTTTTCCAGTTGTTCATTTTTTTGGTTAGTGGCAATTAGTTTTTCCCATTAAGGCCCAGCCATTTGAATTCTGCCTACTGTTTTATTTTTCCATTACTTTTCACCAAATTTACTCTAAACAGTTATTTCTACTAAGTAATCCAGAGTAGAAATGGAAGTTTCTAAATTAAGAAATGTATTGAAGAATATTCTAAAAGATTTTTTTCTTAGAAACCTTTAAGAATAGAGACCCCCTAATAAACTATTGGTCTGGGATTGTTGTACCATGTACAGGGTAAATCTGGTTGCAAATCAAGTTATTGTTTGCTTTGAGTCTGTGATTTTGAGTCTTTTGAGTCTGTGATTTTACTTTGAGTCTGTGATTTTATGATACAGGGGAACTGAATTTGCATTTTGGTAATGTATTGTGTAGGCTCTTTGTTGGTCCTCCGTAGCCTGGGCTAGTTGGCTTGGTGGTATTGTACTATTTCCATCGAAGGAAACCATTTAATATCTTTCAGTATTAGATTTTATCAAGTTTAATTCAAGGAGCAAATCCATTAGGATGTGGTGTACCTGATAAGTCTTAAATAGTATTACTTTTTTCTCTCAGAAAAGACTCCTAAACTCCTATGAAGAGTTATCTTCAGGTATTGCTTTCAAAAAATTTTCCTAATGAAATTGACAATGAAAAATGGTTTTTTTTTTCTTTACAATAGTAAAAAATAATTCTAATCATCTTTTTAGCATATATGGCATAAAAGATATCTCATAGCTGTCTTATAGTAACTTGTTTTTCTTAAGTTTAATTTGCCTTTGCTTCTGAACTGGAATGGTGCTGGCTCCCTCTTGTGGTTAATCGTTTTTATCATTACATAAATACCTTTAATTTAGAGGACAAACACTAGGTCAATTCAATTTTAAGGCAAAACAAAACAATGAATTGATTTATACTCAAGCAGTTCAATTTATACTGCGTTGAAAGACTTCATCTCTGGAAAGTTTGTTCGTTCATATTAAAATGAATATTTTTCTTCTGCTTTTGTTTACTGTGTCCTCTAGTGAGGTCTGGTTCATGTTTAGTTCTTCTTATAAGTGGAAAAGCCAAAGAAAATGTCTGTAAATTTTGTATACAGGCACACACAGCTTCACTGACTATGCTGTCAAGAAATTATGCTTCAGGGGCGCCTGGGTGGCTCAGTGGGTTAAGCTGCTGCCTTCGGCTCAGGTCATGATCTCAGGGTCCTGGGATCGAGTCCCGCATCAGGCTCTCTGCTCAGCAGGGAGCCTGCTTCCCTCTCTCTCTCTCTCTCTCTCTCTGCCTGCCTCTCCGTCTACTTGTGATCTCTCTCTGTCAAATAAATAAATAAAATCTTTAAAAAAAAAAAAAAAGAAATTATGCTTCATTAAATTTGCTAAATCATCACTTATCAGGACATTAGGCTTCTTAAAATAATGGCTGGAGGGAAAAGAGACTTATGTAACATACACAGAAAAGTATAAAGATGGCTGTGGTATTTGTTTTATTTATGAACCGATAGGTTATTCCAGTCTATGATCCAAAATCTAAATATGGAAAAATGGAGAGTTGTCAAGCAAAATTCTGAAGAATAGTCATGTGGTACTACTAATAATAGCTAATATTTGTTTAGTGATTACGATATGCTTAGCACATTATATATCTGAATAATTTATAGCAGAGTATATATTACAATGTAATTAAGAGCACAGGTTCTAGAATCAAGCTGGTTCTGCCACTTCCTCAATGGAGGATTTCATAGCCTCAATTTCTTCCCCAAAAAAAGAGTTGGGGGAAGGATAATGAAAGGCGACATCTAGCTTGTCTTCAGTCTCCCAGATCCTTAGAGTCAAAGATGATACCCACTCATTTTTGTATTTCCAGCACTTAATATGTATGTTGTGTGAACCAGAAGTGAGGCCAGAGTTTGCTCCACAGAGTGATTATATTCTGTTTGTGAATTGCAGATTTGGGTCCTGGGAAGATCAAGAGTAAGCTTTTCCCCAGGACTTCTGGTTTAGGAGAAGGGAATCTAATGATTGAAATGGCTGGGTACCTGAGGGGATTTCCCAGGTTTGCAGGAGCTGGCAGCCCCAGCCTTTCCTCAGTTCACTATACGATGAATGGCATGATTCTGCTAGCTTGGAGAAAGTGAATGAACAGACCAGTAATCTTTCTCAGCTATAGGTAGTCTGTAACTCAGTGCAGAGAGCACCAGAAACTAAGGATCTGTTTTGTTCTGGTGTGGTTTAGTGTCCTCAGAGCGTGAGTTCCAACTTGTTCGATGTGAAGCTAGTCTTTCAGGAAGACAAAGACCACAAAGTGTGGGCATCCTGTATGGCACTTGTTAAGACTTTTAGACCCACTGAGGAAAGGAGAATTAGCTGTAGGACTTATAAGATGGGCATCTGTAAGCATTGTCCATTTTTCCATTGTGCTATTTAATTTCTCTGCCTCTGCTAACTGGCAGATGTGTTGGTCCTTTTCCTGAAAAACGTCATTCAAGGATTTGGAGATTGAAGTGCTGAGCTGAGCAGGACGGATGTACCAAAACCAAAACTGTAGCCCCCAAAATAAATAAATAAATAAACCCTCCTAACTTATTGGCTTTATGATTTTTAAAATTTAAATAATATGTATCCCAAATGTTATTTGAACATACAGTCAACATAAAAACTATTGACAAGATATTTTGCATTCTTTCTTCAATATCCAGTGTGCATTTCACATTTAGACACTTTTAACTTGCTTTCACCACGTCCTAGGTTTCCTGGTTGCCGCATGCTGGCTAGAGGCTACCGTGCAGTTCAGCACAGCAGGGGCTTTTCCTGCCTTGACTCTTTACTCTGTGCTGGGTTTGTCGCAAATAAATCTGTAGTAACCGTCTTTCAAAGAAATTTCTTTACTCAAGCGTTTTGCTTAGTCAGGCCTCTGACTGTCTCCTTGTTATTATGGTTAGGATCCTGAGTATTTATGCCTATGATACAGTAAATTCGTTTCCTTCTGTTTTCTTATTTGGTCAGCTGGTTAATTAAATTCCAACATAATTACATAATTCACTATGCTTATTCTACAAAATAATTTAGCACCTTGTTTTTCAGAGCTGTCAGAAAGCAGAAGCAAAGAAAAAGTAATAAGATGAAAATGGGGACCACTAAAGGACAATCCATGAATCATACATCTGCTACAAGGAAGAAGAGCAGGAGAGAAAGAGCCCATCAATATCTTTGCTCTTAAATGTCCAGTGACTTGAGAATAAGAAAGATTTATAGTCCAACCTTTGATGCCATTTTCTGAAAGTGCCACACTGGACTTAATTCTTTCGCTTTCAAAGGTATGCACCTTTCTAAGGCAGATAATGGGCAGGTGGTATTTGCTGGTTTATGGACCCCTGTGCAGCCCCTCTGGAGACCTGGGGGAGGTGTTCCATCCTGAGCTGGTCGACCAGATCTCTCTGTATGCCTTTTTTTTTCTCTCTCTTTTAATTCTCTCTGAATCATATGATTTTGGCCTCTTTTGAAAAAACGGGCATGCAGCGTTCTTTTGCAGAAAGTGTCAGAAGAAAAATGAAAGTGAAAACTTGAGCTCTTGTTTACATTGAACGCAAGTATGTTAAATTAGGTCCAGAAATCTTTTAAGTTAAATATCAAAACATTGTATGATGACTTAAACCCCACTTGCGAAGTAAAGTACAATGAACAATTATTTTTAGACAAAATGATGGGAAGAATTTTGACAAAACTAAAGATATAAAGATTATAATTATGATTTTATTATTAAATATTTGTCTCTCAAGTACTTTTTATAGTGTCCTTTGATATAATAGAACCATTTAAATGTTGTAGGATAAATGAGACATCTAGAATTATGACTTGCTCTGTCATCTCAGTGTCTTTTAACTTAAGCAGTAAGGTTATTTCTTTGTAAAAGTAATAGAAGGCAGGAGAGTTTGGGGATTAAAACCTCTCATCCCTATTCTGACAAACGCTTCCTGACTGTAAGTCATTAGCCAGGTCGTTCACTTGCAGCCCATTTCTTATTATTATATAATTACTTGATTATATAACAGTAGTTATACCACAGGCTTGTTTTCGTGATGACGTTAAATGGGGCACAAGTGCCTGGCTCTCAGTTCTGTTGGTGAGAAATGTTACCAAGTGCAGATGGCTGGAGCCCTAGTGGTAATCATCTGGTGGTCCAGGATCATAGCGGTGAAGGAACCGGGCTTGAACTCTGAGAACAGTCTCCCCGTGTCTCTGCTACGTACCTGACATGATCTTCATAAGACTGCATACTTTTGAACTGCTTGCATTTGCATAATGACTTTTCTTCCCAAACAGCTGCTTTAGAGCAGGTTTGGAGGCATGCTTACTTGGGCTTAGCTAGAGTGCTTGAGTGAAGGTACAAGAGCTGCTCCCCATCTAGCCTGGAAAATCCATCTGGTCTTTAAGTTAGGACTGTTTGATGCCTGATGTGGAAGCACAAACATGGCCCTGATCCATGGATTGGGGTGTATGTATATTCAGGGACATCAAAAGTTGAGCTAAGCCCCCTGGATTTAGCAAGCATCATAAAACTCTTCCCTCACCCCCTTTCCATGTGGGTTGCTATGGTGATCAGAGGGGTGGATTCAGAGGTGACTGGGTGAGATATGAACCTTTTGCAGAATCATTGTGAGTGTTCCCCCCATCCCCTGATTCAGCCGTAGGCCTGGACTTTACTTGACCTTCATGGTGTCCTCCAAACCATGGTAAAGTCTCAAAATCTCCCCTGAAATTCAAGACACCTAAGGGGACCGTGATTCCTGAAGAACTAGGTCCTGCTGATAAATGGGTTATTATCATGACCCCATTTCCTTAGCTTTAAGGTACCATCAATTGTAAAATGCACTATTGATGTGATTGTGGCTTTTCTGGGGGAGAAACCCCATAGCTCATTAATTGTGTATATTAAATTTTAGATGTATCTTATTTTGGAGATACTGAAATGTTAAAAAAAAAAAGTACACCTTAGAATTGAGGAAATAGGGTATTACTTACAATCAGAAATTATGTACTTTAAAACTTTAACTGCTTAGGAAGTTAAAAATAAGAAATTTGATGATTCTGGGGGCTCAGTTGGTTAAGTATACAACTCTTATTTTTGCTCAGGACATGATGTCAGGGTTGTGAGATTGAACCCTGTGTCGGGTTCCACACTTAGCGGGGAGTCCACTTGAGATTCTCTCTTTCTTCCTTACCCCCTCCAAACCCTGCTACCAATAAATCTTAAAAAAAAAAAAGGAAATTTGGTGATTGTGTTCTTTGTTTAATTAATACTAATTTTAAGGACTTTCTTTTCTCAGGGAATAAACTAATAGGATGTAAAAATGTCTCTGGAAGGTAAAGTGTGATGGGAGATGAGGTCATTTGTTCTAATTAGGAATCTGCATATCTGAACATATTAAGATACCTACTCAAAACAGCCATAGAGGAAAATCCCTAAATTTGACACATAAAACTTTCTAAGCTTTTTAAAAGGATGTTTTTTCTTAAATTATTACAGTTAAATTTCACTGTAGTTCTTGCTTATATTACAAAATTTAAGGAAATCCAGAGTTACTTTGTAGGCCCTGAATGATCAGATTTCAGGCTTTTCTTGTATTTAGTTTGATATTTAGACTAATTTATTTCTTCAGTATGCCCCACTATTTTCATCTCATCCTCTTCTTTCTGTTTGGACTATTTCAAGTTTCACTCGCTTTAGGAAGTCTTGCCTGGGTCCCTGCCACCAGCTGGTACCTTCCTCACTGAAGCCTGGGTGTTCTGCAACCCATTTGAGGCACTTCTAATGTATTATTCTGTGATTAAATTTGTAGATTCTATTTACCCCAAAAGATTTTAGTTTCTTAATATCAGTACCCATTTTATACCATCTTATATCTCTCATGCATTGTAGGTGCTCAATAAAAATTTGATGAAAGCACGAAATTTTGTAGATGTTTTCACATAGTGGGTGCATTAGTTTGTTAGGGCTGCCATAACAAAATACCAGGGACTGGTGGCTTAAATAGCAATAACTTATTTTCTCACAGTCCCGGAGGCTGGAAGTCCAAGATCAAGGTGTTAGCAAGTTTGGATTTTCTGCCTCTCTCCTTAGCCTACCTTCTCGCTCCTCCTGTGGTATTTCTTCTGTGTGTATGATTCCCTGGTATCTCTGATATCTCTTTGTGACCAAATTCCCTCTGCTTATAAGCATACTAGTCAGGTTGGATTAGGGCCCACTCTCATAGCCTCATTTTACCTTAATTTTCATTTTAAAGGCCCATCTCCAAATATAGCCCCATTCTGAAGTACTGGGGGCTAGGGCTTCAGCATCTGGATTTAGAGGATGGGATTCAGTTCTTAACAGTAGGCATGCCTAAGATATGGAGAGGACTTGGTCTTTTTCTTGTATTTATTTTTAATTTTTATTCATTTATTTTTGTTAAGTATGTGGGACTTGAACTCATGACCCCTAGATCAAGAACTGAGCTGAGATCAAGAGCCGGATGGCCAACCGACTGAGCCACCCAGGGTCCCCTTGGTCTTTTCTCTTTCCTATAAGGACTGAAAAAAGGAGATCAGGCTTAAACAATATTGGGGGTTATTTAGAGTCAGGAGGAAGACCATCTTGATACTCAGGGTTTAGATGTGTATTTAAGGTTGGGATGTGCTGTGTGAGCAAGACTGACAGCCTTGAAGCTTAGAATAATTCAGCTTCCAAGGTTATTTTAAGAAAAACACTTAGGTTGATATCTGGCCCCTTCAAAGTCATTTACAAAATACTAGGCATCTAGGAGAAGTTTGACTAATTTTTTAAAAGAAAATCACAGCCCACAGAAGGTTCTGGTGTGATGCTTCCTCCTTCACAATGTCATTGTTGGGGTCTCCACTACATGTCTTGCCAGTGAAATAAAAATATGTTTGTGTGTCTTTTCATTTCTAATTCTTTTAAGGTACTTAATGTATGCCCTGTATTAGATCAACTTTTTTGTGCTTATTTCTCCTGTATAGATTAGAAGCTCATTGGTGGCAGGGGCCTATGGACATCGTGGTGTGTGTTCCCTAGCTCCTAGAGCTGTGCCCTGCACACTGTGATGTCTGAGGCAACCAGCTGCTGCCCATGTGACTTCACTAATCCCCCCCGCCAACCCCAGAAAGTGGGCAGCCAGGCTGACACGTTTCCTCACCCACCAAGTGGTAGCTGCTCGTAAGTCAGGACTGAGTGAATGGAAATGCCGTGTCATATACTGCATGAGGTCTCAGCACCCTAACTGGGCTACATGGGGAAGAAGCTAATATGCTTAGAGCTGCCTTGGTAAGGAAGGCTTGCACAGACTGCAAAGGAAAATCCAATTTCACTTATTTGATGCGATTTTAATTGGAACATTAGGACAGGGGTACATTAGTAAGGGTCAGCCAAGAAGGTCATTGCAATCAAGTGCTGATAAGATCTCGACAATTTGATTTCAAGCGATTTAATATAAATGTTAACTCAGCAAGACTGAGGGAAGAAAGCTCCCACAGTGAGCAAGCAGATCTCAGAGCTCTGAGAGGTGAGTTTTATCCCATTAGCTGGACAGTCACAAGATTCTCACACTGTTTAGTTGCTTAGTACCACTGCAGATGAGAAGCGTGACAACTGCTGTTCTGAGAAATGGAGCCCAAGGAGAGGGGCCAGTTTCTTCGCCTGTGAATATAGGGGTGAGGAGTAGGAGAAACCAGAAGAATCAGACTGAATGTTATATATGCCTAATGAGGACAAAAAGAGAAAAAGGGCTTGCCTATTAGCTTAACAATTAATGCATGAGCCAGGTAAATCAAAGAAAATGAAAAGTTTCTCCAGTCTTTCCACCCGGAGAGAACCACAGTCAGAACTTCTGTGTGTGTTCTTCAAAGGTAGATTTTTGTATAAATAGCCATATAAACAGACACTCTAAAATTTCCCCCACAGAAATGCAATTGGGAGTACATACTGTTTTATAATCTTCTTTTTCATAAACATCTGAACATCAGTTTATATTTACAACAACAGTAATACTCTTAAGTATGGGTATATTTTTTAAATCAATATCTGATGTTTGGACATCTCATTTGTTTGCATTTTTTCCCTCTTGTAAACAACCCTATGCTAAACATACTTGTGACCAAATCTTTTGTTTCCTTAGGATAAATTTCTAGACATGAATACTGGGTCTGCAGCTCTTATTAGAACCTCTTTCTTCAGATTGGAATCGCATGAGTTGGTCTCTGAATTTCTTTCACAGAGACAAAACACCCTGGATTTAGACTCTCTGCTGGGATGGACAATCTCCCAAATGCCTTTTGTACTTAAAACTCGGGTAGTTGTGATTGATTGTCATACTGAACAGTGTTGATTGGTTGCGTCAGCAGGATCTTTCCCATTCTCTCCATTGTGTGCCTATTGTGGGGTTTGGGAGAGAGATGACTGATATCCTCTCCAGCTCTTTGGGAGGACTTTTTATTGGGCATAATTCCATACCCTTCTGATTTTGGGTAGGTTCATGATAGGGGTTGGTCTAATTACAGGAAAACTCAAGACTTTGGTTTTGTGATGGGTGAAGAGGTGTTTGTTCTCTCTCTGAATGCAGGTGCATGTAGATCAGTTGCTGTTGGTAGCTTTCCAGTAACCACATGGGGAGCTAGACTTAGGATGATGTACACCCTGAGCTTGGTCAGGGTTGATGACTGAGGTTGCTGGATCTAGCCTGACCTGAACTTGAGCCTATTTTTGGACTTGTAATTTACATGAGCCAGTACATTCCAGTTACTACTTCTGCCACTTTAAGTTGGGATTTTTTTGTTACCTAATAAATGCAACCATGGTAGGACAAGAGATTCTAACACCAATCTTCTACATTTATCTCTTGCCAGCAAATTCGGTCAATTTCTTATTTTGTATGTTTCACCCATTTTAGGACTTGGAAATAGACCTCTCAAAATAACAGCCTTTCACATGGCCTAGATTAGTCACATCCCACATAGTTCTATCTTCCATTCTTGTGTACAGTGTTTCCCACATCTTTGCTCAGGCCCTGACTTTTCCCCTTCAAACCTGCCATTCCAGGTTCCTGTTGGTCATCGTAGGTTCACACACCATACCTCCACCTGAACATAGTCTTCACTCAGCTCCTTTCCTCTGGTCTGCTTTCCCTCCCTTCCCCTTCACACTTCCTTCATTACCTCTGCCCTAAACCAGCAATAACCATTTCTCTGTCCCCTGAGTCTGCATACCCAAATATCCCAGTCTTGACTAGTCCCTTGCTTTCATTCCCTCAATCTAATCAATAATCAGTTCTTTGTATTCTTCAGAAATGTCTGGAATTGTGCCTCCCCCATCCCCACCTAACTAGTCTTCCTGCCCATCTTTACTCCCCCAGTCATCACCCCGTTACATGAGTTAAGGTCCTGAATAATCAATGAACCAGTGTGATGCAACCAATGATACAACTCCCCCCGCCCTGCTGCCCGCAATAAATCTGTTGACAGCAGCCTTGCCCTTCAAAATCCAGCCTTATACCATTACAACACATGGAAGGATGCCTTCGGCATGAGCTAGCCCAAGGGGTGCAGTGATTAAATAAACAGCCTAGCTACCAAAATGTTATTTCACGAAAGCTAGTTGTTGAATTCCGCCCTCCCCCCAAGCACTAGGAAGAGGATATACAGAGCATGGGAATTCTTAAGAGTATTCTCTTTTCCCCTCAAACCCTTATGCTCCCACCCCTATACATTTCTGTCTCCTATCCTTGCCTCCTTAAAAAGCACCTGGGGGTTCTTCCCTTTTCCTCTTGATTCTGTGCCACAGAAGTGCAGGTAAACCAATTTGCCAGAGCAATGTTTTCCATAGAGAATGGGCAAGGCAAAGAAAAGTAAGGTCCAAAATCTCTGGGTCAGTGGGAAAAAGAAGAGGCTGGAAACACTGTGTTAGTGGCTACTTTGTCCTATGGCTACTTTGGACAATTTACAGTGTCCCCCAGTCCCACCAATATGCATGAGGCACTATGGCCACAAAAAATCATTTGCTCTTTCCTGGCCACACTCTGGCTACACGTGTAACTCCACTGCTATGCTGTTTCCTGGGCAATTCTCCCCTGTGAATGCACTACTCTCCTGTTTGGTAGCGCCTTTTTTTTTTTTTTTTTTTTTTTTTTTAAGATTTTATTGAGAGAGAGAGAGCAGGAGCAAAGGCAAAGAGGTACAGAGAGAGAGGGAGAAGCAGGCTCCCCACTGAGCCTGGAGCCCGATGCGGGACTTGATCCCAGGACCCTGGGATCATGACTTGAGCCGAAGGCAGCTGCTTAACAAGCCACCTAAGCGCCCCTAGGTAGAACCTATTAACAGTCCTCCTGTGTTATATGAGGAAATGGGCATTCCATTTCTGTAAGAATGTTAGGTGGATGAATATTGCCTCCCCCAACCCCAGCATCCAGATTATCCATTACTGCCACCCCAGAACATTAAATAATGCCTGAAAATGCATTTCATGAATAACAAAAGCAAGTGCATTCTCACCTTAGAAATGTTGCCTCTGGAAAAATTTGGGGGTCATGCTAAATTGTTTGCAGCAAAGGCAAGGGGAAAAGCCTATCTCTAAAGAGGGGAGCAGGGTAGGCATCAGGTAAGAACAGTTCCACAAAATAGTGCCTCGAATATATGCTGCTGAATGAATGGGTCAACCTCTGACACTTTCTTCCCCGGGGCTAGATCCAGATAGAGAGCAAGAAGATGGGGCTTGTTAAACTTGAAGATTCTACCATTTCTTTCTCCTTTGAATAAGTGAAAGGTAGATGGTTTTCTACCATAGATTTTAAGTTGAAGAATCACAGGATATGGTCACGTTCTCTTAACCGGGGTCATAACTTGTGTGAACTTTTGCACCTGCTAACATTTAAATTTGTCCGCATAAAGCAGTATCTTGCTTGTTGGTAGGCCGAACTGTAAGCCTTTTAGGGCAGAGCCCATGCCCTGTGCCTTTGTGTAGCCCAAATTCTTTCAGATTCTTTTTCCTGGTAGATCTCAGACAGCTGTAGGATAAACCCTGCGGGAGCCCACAGCCCTCATTTATTAAGCAGGCCTGGGACTACTATCACCAATGAGTTGTTGAGGCTTAATGGAATAATCAAGGTATTTGACTACTCAGGGGTTTTGGAGCAGGGCCCTCCCACCTTGGCTGCAAACCAGACTCACCTAGAAGAGTTAGTACTGGGTCGCATTCCTTATCAGTTCTCTTTTCATTGATCTACGGTGCTGCCTGGGTTAGGATTTAGAAAATAAATCTCTTCAGGTGATTCTACTGAGCACCTGGGACTGTTTACCTGTTTAGAGGCTGTCAAGGGAGGCTCCAGCCGATAAGGACTTAATGTTTCCCTTCCTTTTCCTCCCCACAGTCTCTGAGGACTCACGCCCAAACCTATGCCCACCCAGCGACCCCCTAGCAGCTTTCCGGGACAACGGACCCGGCCAGCGAACGCGCGTACACGCGTAGGGACCACGTCTCATCTGCAGGCGGCCCTGCGGCCCCGGGAACACAGGCGCGCCCCCGCCCCGCGCGCCCCCGCCTCCAGGTCCTCTCGCGAGGAAGTCCGGGCTCCGGAAGTGCCTGCAGCGCGAGGCGGCGGAGCGGCGCTGAGGCTCCGGCGGGAAGGCGGTAGAGGGTGGGTGAGGCCGCTAGGATTGCGTGGGCTGCGGAGAGGGGTCTCACAGGTACCGCCGGGGTCCGAGCTCTCCGGGGAGGGCCGGGGGCAGGGCGGTCTCCGGCCCCTGCGTGACTCCGACTGGGGTGTCATTGCAGGGCCGCCCCCATGTTGCGTTTTCCGACCTGTTTCCCGTCCTTCCGGGTGGTGGGAGAGAAGCAGCTGCCGCAGGAGATAATTTTCCTGGTCTGGTCACCCAAGCGGGATCTCATCGCTTTGGCCAACACGGCGGGCGAGGTGAGTGAGCCCGACCCGACAGCAAGCGCGTTGCAGCCTGACCCAGCCTCAGTTTCCCTTTTTGTGGACTTGCTGGGCCGCCTGTGGACCCCGCCCCCTTCCTCTCCAAGCAGCTGTAAATCTTAGGTGAAAGTAGAAGGGAGCATCTACGGGAAGGATCATTTATGTGCCCATTTCCCCTATTTCATGGCAAAAACAATAGTTTTCACACAGCGCAGTCACTCAGTCCTGCATTCCTCGGTCTCCTTTAGTCATTTGTTAGGTGGGCTTTTTAAAATCCCATAATGTGTCACTCATCAACTAGACATCGTAGATCCACAGATCCTGCCCTGAATTTGCTTAGGGTTACGTAGCGGAAGGAAGATGAGTTCCTCTCAGACCTGAGCCGCGAATGTGCATACATGCAGCTGCCACAGAGAACAGGTTAAAAAATCGAGAATCTCTTGTCCAAGTTCCCTACTGTGGAGGGGATCACCACCTCCTCCTGAAAATACCTTTAAATTTAGGAAGGGAGTGATGCTTCCCTGGGTTCCTGACGGAGTGTACATGAGTGGTGTCACTTAGGGGTTCCAGTTCATACCACACTAGGCTTCATCAAGTATACCCGCTGCATCTACCTTTCTCTGGAGAGTCCTTGGTTACCTGGCAACCATTTTGTGAGGAAACCTTCAGCTCCGCATCTTTCCCCCTTTGGCCTTCGGGCAGGTTTTTAGGAATTACCTGGCCAGGTGAGAGTTGTGTTGTGTGCAGACGGACTTGGACACCAGGTGGTAAGCAACACTTAGCATCCGCAAAGCTTAGTCGCTGTGTTGACTACTAATAGCTTCTCACAAGGCACTGAGGTCTCCTTTCTCGAGGCCCTCTCTGATGTCTCCTGGTCCCTCTCCTTTGCCACTGGGCCTTGGAACTCTTCATGCTCTAGAGAGGAGAGCCGCAGCAGCAGGATGGAAGGGAGAGAATGGGGCATCGGTGCGACTAGTTGTGTAGATGTAATAGGCACTTGTTTCTGTGTCCTCAGTGAAGAAGAAAGTGGTGTCCAGGAGTGAGGATGGAGAAGAAAATACTGGAAGTTTGAGGAGAAAGGAGGGGTATGGAAAGCTGACAAGGCAGGCGGACTAGGGAAACTTAGTGAGATTGCTGGTACTGACCAGGTTAGTGGTCTTGTACTTTGAGAGACTCTAGTGAGCACGGTTGTGTCTCTGTTGTTCTGTTTGACTGGGTGAGTGTAGACATGGTTGGGTTTCACCAGGGTTGTTGTTTTGCAAATGAGACATAGCCAGAGAGATGCAAGGGAGTTAAAGTTACATGTCAGAGGTGCGATGGTAATGATCCTTGGATTCTAATACGATTAAGTATGGAAGTGGGGGTATGTGAGTGAGGGACAGTGAATAGGTGGAATCCATGGATTATAGGACTTGGTGAGGTTGAAGAAGTGAAGTCGGGTATTAGTAGGGATGAGCTAGAAGGGTAGAGGCAGTGATGGAAGGTGGGAGGTTTGAGACACTATGGCATTGCTTGTAACTAGAAGGATGAGGTCAGGGCGTGACCCTGGAGTGGCTGAGGTGAGTAGAAGACATGGTCATTGGAAGAAAGGTAATTGAGAACTGAAAAGTCAGGACATTGTGGGTCTTGAAATCATCAAGAATGGTGATGAATAGTGTTGGAAAGCATGAGTGAACTGGACAGGAGTCTGTATCTCCCGGGAATGAGGGGAATGCCTAGGGGTCTTTAGGGAACAGCAATTAGGGGGAGTGGGTGATATGGTGTGATTGGATATAATTCAGAATTAGAGGATTTTAGAGAAGAAAAGTCATCCAGAAATGGCATCAGGGATCAGGGAGGAAACTTACTTTATCTCCTGGCCCAGTAGAATGGAGAACATGGGACGCAGCACGGCTATCAGCTGAGAATCCTCTGGAAAGTGTTGTCTTAGGGTGAGAAGCAGATTTCAGAGAAGAGAAGGAAGATACGAGCATCATGATGATACCTGACCATGAATTTCAGAGGGTGCAGAGGAAAGGTTTTGGAAGTAAGAAATGGCAGAGACGGGCTCAGAAAAGAGCAGTGTGTCTAGGGAATGAAGGATTCCATGGGATTCCTGGCTTCCTGTGGGGTCTGATGTACCAGGAGTGAAGAGTGCTGTGAGCTAAGGGCAGGAGAGGTGAAGCTGTGAGTGTGGGGACCTGAGAAGGTATGGAGGCTCTGCAGGGGTACATACCATTTCTTATTTTCCATGGTTGTATAGAGGATGAAGTAGGCACAGCCTTTGTTTTGAGTCAGAAAGAGCTCTGGGGGCAAGAAAGAGCTCTGGGAATTTTCCCTTGTGGAAGTGGAAATTTAGAATGACTAAGTGACTTGTCCAAGATCTATGGCCAGCTGAAATTCCATCCCAAGGTGTCTGATTCCACTTTTGGTGTTATTTGACTATTACAGCTAGTTTTCTGTGCTGTTTATGTTCCTTGTTTCTTTCTCTGTTGTGATCTTCTTGGACAACCTCATTTCTTTCTAAGAACTGTCTCTTGTTGACATTGAAGATAGGAAAATGTATAGAGTACAGGGTTAAATAGGTCTTGTTTCACCCATCACTTTGAATATACCTTCAGTTCATTCAGACCTTGTTGTCTTCTCATTTCTTCTGATAGCTAAATATTATGCTTTGAGATTATTTATTTATTTTTATTAACATATAATGTGTTCTTTGTTTCAGGGGTACAGGTCTGTGAATCATCAGTCTTAAACAATTCACAGCATTATGCTTGCGATTATTTTTAAAGATTTTATTGTGATGATCTAGGTTTATTTCAGTTTTGGAAATGGGTTTTTTATTTTTTGCCTTTGTATCTGTTTTGTCTTAGGTTTTACTTCATCGACTTGCAAGTTTTCATCGAGTTTGGAGTTTTCCACCCAATGAAAATACAGGAAAGGAAGTGACCTGTCTGGCATGGAGACCAGATGGCAAACGTAATGATAGGAATCTTTGGAAAATACGTTGTTATTATTATTATTATTCCCCAAAAAAGTCTTTTGTAAAGAAAGCTTATTTCCAGAAAGAATGTATTGTTCTTACTATATTCTTATTACTTACTAAATATCAGTTTGGAAACTTTGCTTTTTGGAAGCTTTAAAGTGTTTTCATAGAGATGAGGTTAATTTTGCTGTGTTGTTTCCTTGGCTGAGCACTCTCTAAAATGAAATTTGACTTCTTGGCAAAGCTAAAATCAAATCTGATGGAATGTGCAAAATACTTAGGCTTTGCTCTTGATGCTGTCTTGTCCTTCCATGATGGCCCAAGCTCCAGCTACATTCACTAGTACGTTCGGTACCATTGTGGTCTTTTTTTCCCAAAATGTATGTTAGCATTAAATGTGTGGGTCATAAATATTCTCTTAGCATGAATGCTTATCTCACCTGAAGGACTATCAGCTCTGACCCCATCCCTTCCTCTTTCTCCTCTAATCTTTATTTTGTAGCTTCTTATAGCTTTGACGACTGAACTCTGCTTCCACCTGTTGTTTTTACAATGACAGTCATAATTTGAGCTGCTGTACACAGAGTCAGTACAGTAAAATGCTATAAATTATACAGGTTGAAGTTCATCTGTTATCATTGGTGCTTTGAGGAAAAAAAGCTGAATCATTTTTGTAAAATGATATGTACTCCTTATTGCCTGTTTTTTTCTAGTAAATATAAATGAGTAGGTAAAAACATGCTGAAAGCCTCAACTACCTGTCCATATTCATTTTGTTCAGCTCTTGTTCTTTTAGTAAAAAAATGGGGGGGAGTGTATATGTAAAATTAGAGGACTTTTATAAGTAACATCATGAGATCTTGCACTATTCATCCCAAAACACCAGAATCTCAAAAATAAATCATGAAAGTCCATGTGTGTTGAAATGTATATAAGTAGATGAAGTTTTTTTTTTTTTTTTTTTTTAAGATTTTATTTTTTTTTTTTACAGAGGGAGTTTAAAATTAGGAAGAGAGAGAGATGGGGGGGGGGTGGAGAAGCAGGTTCCCTGCTGAGCAGAGAGCCCGATGCGGGACTCGATCCCAGGACCCCGAGATCATGACCTGAGCCGAAGGCAGCGGCTTAACCCACTGAGCCACCCAGGCACCCCTAGATGAAGTTTTTATCATTAAAAAATATGCCTTGTGTTTTTGGACAGTGAAATAAGGTTTTTTAAGCAATGATTATTTCAAGATTGCTTTATATTGTTTGAAGAAGAGGAAATGTGGATTGCCTCACATCTTGTAAAACTGTGTGTCTTGATATACTGTGAAATGCGTAGCTCCCTACTTAGAAATTCTTAACTTTGATGTGTTAGGAAGATATTAGTGACATATGTGGAGAAACTGTACTAGATAATTCAGCCACAGTGAAAGGAGGAAGACTCCTCAGCATTTGATAGTCTCGTTTCCCATTAAGGGTTAGAGACAGAAGGGGACACTGAGCCTTCTAAGAACCAAGCAGTTGGAATCGCTTCTTAACATTTTAGGCTTGTTCACTAGACCAGCGTCTCTTGGTGATAGGATATTGTTGTTTGTCTGTTGAGACCTATTCTGTGTCTTCTGCTGGGAAGCAGGGCTCCAGTCCAGAGGCTTTGATGTGTGAGATGTGTAAGACACTAAGTACAGTACACTAGGAAGTAGTAGGTCCCTCACGAGGTTTTAAGCCTTTGAAAATAAGCTTAGGTAACAGCATAAGTACATGTAAAGATATCTTTCTGTATTTAAAAATGTTATTGGAAGGAAGGATTTTTAGGTTAAGTAATTTCTGTGATTATGATGCATTTAAAATAGTAAAACCGGGCAAGAAGTGAAATAGCCATTTTGTTTTCTCGAATGTTACGGTAGTTTGTCCTGATCCTCTCTTCTTGTTTCAGTTTTGGCGTTTGCTCTTGCTGACACCAAGAAAATTGTTCTGTGCGACGTAGAGAAACCTGAAAGCTTGCACTCCTTCTCTGTGGAGGCGCCAGTGTCTTGTATGCATTGGATGGAAGTGACTGCAGAAAGCAGGTAGAGGAGTAGAAGGAGGAGCTCCAGCGGCCACAGTGGGACAGTTGTGCACTTGCCGGGACTAAAACACACCCTTGGGAGGATCTGAGTGTTGAGCCTGGGCACATTTTATTTCACTTTGGATTTTCAGTTTATCAGGATAAGATTTTGTAATGCTTTGTTAGGTTTTATTTTCTTCTGAAAAAAAAAAAAAAAAAAAAAAAAAATTTTTTTTTTTTTTTTATATTGGAGCAATAATGCCTGAAAAGCTAAGATTTTTCTTTGTTTTTTTTTTTTTTTTTTAATTTTTAGTAGTTATGTCAGTGATTTGTACTTTATTATTATTTTTTTTTTCCTTAACTTAAATTTTAGGTAGTTAACAGTGCAATATTGGTTTCTGGAGTAGAATGCAGTGGTTCATCACTTCAGTACAGTGCCCAGTGCCCATCACAGGTGGCCACCTTCATGCCTATCACCCACTTAGCCCATCCCCTGTCTGCCTCCCTCCATTAGCCCTCGGTTTATTCTCTATTGTTTAGAGCTTTTTATTACTTATTTCTCTCCTTTTTTTCTTTTCCTCCCTTCCTGTGTGTTCATTTTTTTTTTTTTTTAATTCTACATGAGTGAGATCCTATCGTAGTGATTTGTACTTTCAAGTAATAGAAATTAAAATCAGTGATTAACAAGTTGAGGTTCTTTGTTCCTTTTTGCCGCCAATTTCTTTTGGAGCTCGGGGTTTTTTGGCATCTTCGTAAATATCCTCAGAGTATAGAAAGTGCTAAGTTAAGCACTCTGGGGGTTTTGTTTTGTTTTGTTCGTTTTAAGATTTCATTTATTTGAGAAAGAGAGTGAGTGAGCACGAGTAGGGGGCAGGGCTGAGGAAGGTGGAGAAGGAGACCCCCCACTGATGTGGGACTCCATCCCAGGACCCTGATCATGACCTGAACTGAAGGCAGATGGAGCCACCCAGGCACCCCTGAGCACTTTGTTTTGATGCTGAATGAGCTCTTTCTGTGTCTGTGGTCCTGATAGCTTGCTGGTCTCATGAAAATAACTGCCTTAGTCTGCATTCAAGTCATATACCAGGTTTGCAGTCAAGATGGCTTAAAGGATGAGTTTGTTTAGCTAATAACGAAAATAAAAGGTTTTCTTGTTTGTTTTTAGGAAGTGTGATAATTTTCTTACCAGTAGTTTTTCCTTTCTAATAAAGTGTTAATTTCAAATTAACTAAGGGGGAGTCTATAATAAGAATACTAAGGATCTCACCTGGTGTTTGAAATTCACTATAGATAAAACATTTATCTATAATTGATGTATCATCAAATAATCCAGGGTTGCAAGTAGCCATGTGAATTTATCAATGCTTAGAGGAGCAGACTATACCGTGTCATTTCTGTCCCATTCCAGGTACCTGCTAAGTGTATTCCTAATATACTTTCTGCCAATAGTTTAGAAATAAAATGTGGAGATTCTAGGATCTCTCAGGACACCTAGTTTGTGTTTTAAGTGGGAAAAAAATGCATGCCAAGTCGCCACTTTTTCACCTTTTCACTCATTACCACCCTTATTTGGAGGTAGAATTGAGAAACAGGAACAAGCAAGACTATTTCAGAATGTGTGGTGCTGTCTTAGATACCTGTCAGGTTGTCAAATCCCAAATGCGTATAAGCCACAGAACCCACGGTTAAATGAGGTAATAACTGCAGTGTTCTTTAAAATCCATTCATCCTTGGTACTCATATATGTTTAGTGTTGGTTCTTAGAGTTAAAAAATCATAAATTCTTGGGGCACCTGGGTGGCCCAGTTGGGTAAATGTCTGCCTTCAGCTCAGGTCATGATGCCTGGGTCCAGGGATCAGGCCCCATGTTGGCCTCCTTGCTCATTGACGAGTCTGTTTCCCTCTTTTCCTCTGCCCTGCCTCCACCACCTCCTGCTCATGTGCTCTCTCTCTCTCTCTCTCTCTCACTTACTCTCTGTCTCTCAAATAAAATCTTAAAAAGGAAAAATTCTAAATTCTTAGTATCTCATACTGAATACATAGAGAAAATTGTTTATTAGTATTTTTCCTCTAAGTAAAGTGGCTGGGTTTTTTCCCCCCAGAAACAAAGCCCCTCATAAAGGAAGAATTTCCTATTTTTCTCTTTGTTGTCTGTGATTGTTACAATGACTGTTTTATAATAGTAAAATATGTGTGGCATCTGTTTACTTGATAATGTATATAATGTATAAAACTGGGCAATTTTTTAAAAAGTACTTTTTAATGGAAAGACAAAATCTTTGGTAGTGTTGTAATGCCTCTTTGTTTTTCTTTTCAGTGTTCTAACATCCTTTTATAATGCTGAGGATGAATCAAATCTTCTCTTACCTAAACTGCCCACCCTGCCAAAAAAGTAAGTATCAGTTTAATTTCATTGGAATCCATCTTGCAGATTTCTCTTTCCTTTACCTTTATTTATTTTTTTAAAAAAAGGTTTATTTCTTTGGCAGAGAGAGCGAGCGAGCACAAGTAGGCAGAGAGGCAGGCCGGGAGGGGGGAGCAGGCTCCCCGCTGAGCAGAGAGCCCCATGGGGGACTCGATCCCAGGACCCTGAGATTATGACCTGAGCCGAAGGCAGAGGCTTAACCCACTGAGCCACCCACGTACCTCTTTCCTTTACCTTTAAACATTGCGATGATTTTCTCATGTGTTTTAAAAAATATATTGTTACTGCTTTTTACACTAGTCTCTGTTTTTCTCTAGTTACAGCAACACCTCAAAAATTTTTAGGTAAGATACGTCTTTTTTGTTTTCAGGTCAAATAATCTTTTGTTAGTTGAAAGATGTAGTTGAAAGGTAACGCAGTTGTTTTTATATTTTAGTGAAGAAAATTCTGATGAAATTATTAAGCTTTTGGGAGACGTCAGGTAAATCTTGCAAATATCTTAAATAACAAGTCTAATTTCTTAACATTGATGTTTGGTATTTGAGACAGGGTTCAGAGTTTCAAGGGCAGTTCCTTCATGTGTTATGTTATTTCCCTGCTGACAAACACCACTGAATAATATACAGACATTAGTGTCTATTATTTACTTGTTTTTATTGTATGGTCTTTTAAATATGAAGTATTTACTTGTTTTTGTTGTATAGTCTTTTAAATATGAAGTAAAGGAAGATGTTACTAGAATTTCTAAAATTTAAATTTAAATATTCCAGATTTTTTAAGCCCTTTTAATGCATTTAGCATCAGAGCCATGATACCACTGATGGCGCTTTGCTCAGCTGGAAAAAAGATTGTGTTATTGAGAGTATATAAATACAGTAGTTGTTAAAATACTGTATCCTTATTTTACTATAAACTGATGTTTTTAGGCGACAGCAAATTTATGTTCCTCTGAGAAAAGGAAGCAGCCCAGTGTGATTGAATATTGAGTATTTGTGAATTTGTTTGGGGCTTGTTTCTCCGCAGGGGAGCCTTATTAGCATGCAGATTATTTGAGAGCAAGAACAATTTATATCTTAGTTTAAGAACTTAGTCTTTTCTGTTGTCCTCAGCTTGTTACATTCCTTTTAATTAGGCTTAATATTCTTGTCCTCGGAGGAAGCTCTGGATTTATTGAGCTTTATGCATATGGAATGTTCAAAATTGCTCGAGTCACAGGGGTAAGTTTTCCTTTAAAATTTTCACATCATTTCTCTTAGACTATACCACCTAGAATATAACAGCTAACTGATTTATGGAAAAAAAAAAAACAAAACACTAGGGTTTTTTTTCTCACTTTCAATTAATGGAGTTATTCATTTTTAAAAAGTTAGGATAATTTTCTTACTAAGATAAAATAGTGGTGATATGATATCTGTGAAGCTCAGGTATTCTTAGTGGAATTAGTCAACTTTTTCTTAACAAAAAGATTGATTCAGGATACAGTTGATTCTGACTCAGTGTCTTTCTAGCCTGTAGTCAGGGCGAGAGCTGCAGTTTGTGACTGGAATGTGAAGGAACATCATGAGAAGTGCTCGTCTACTCAGCACCAGATCTGTGCTGGTTGCTCAGTCTTGGTCTTCTCCACAGCTTTTCTGTCCTATTCTCACCATTTCTGAGGGGGGAGAAATACTGTGGGCTCTCCAGCACTTGATTTGGTTCCCCTTATGGAGGGGTGTGTGTCCATGAGGGATGTGGACTGGGGGGACACACATCTTCCCTCTCTTGCACGTGTGGAATGCGTCAGGCTTGTGTGGTTTTGCTTCGGAGAGTTCCATTAGTTTCTGTTGCCTGTATCGTAAGCAGGTGCAGACTAGCAGTGATACTAAATGGACCAGGGGATTTGATTGTCTTACAGATCGTTGGTACTTGTCTTGCATTGTGTTTATCCAGTGATTTGAAGTCATTATCAGTGGTCACAGAGGTTTCTGCTGGCGCTGCTTCAGAGGTCTCATACTTCCAGGTAAGTGTGGAAACCTGGTAGCAGCAGACAGTAAATATCTATATATTTTTTAAAAATTTTATTTATTTATTTGACCGACAGAGATCACAGTAGGCAGAGAGGCAGGCAGTGGGGGGTGAGGCAGGGTCTCTGCTGAGCAGAGAGCCAGATAGGGAGCTCGATCCCAGGACCCTGGGATCATGACCTGAGCTTAAGGCAGAAACTTTAACACACTGAGCCACCCAGGTGCCCCAGTAAATACATTTTTTTAAGGTTTTATAGTTTTTATTATTCTTATTTTTGGATTCTAATGGTTATTAAAACAAAGCAAAAAGAAAAAAATAAAAAAACTTGGAGCTTCTAAATCTCATGTATAGAATCTTGCTTTAGTGAACATTTCATTATTCCCAGAGTCCAGTATAGTTTTCATAAAAACAGTGTTTTGATAGTTTATTAATGACCATGTTAATTGGTTGCTATATCAGTCTGTCTTTGTACCAAGTATTTTTTTTTTTTTTTAAGATTTATTTATTTGAGAGAGATAGTATGAGCAGGGGGAGGGGGAGAGGGAGAGAGAATCCCAAGCAGATTCTGTGCTGAGTGCAAAGCCTGTCATGGGACTCCGTCTCACCACCCATGAGATCATGACCTGAGCTGAAACCAGGGGTCACACATGTAACCAACCAAGCCACCTAGGCACCCCTGTATCAAGTGTGTTCTTCGGACTCTGATCCTAGGGGCACTTGGGTGGATCTTTTGGTTAAGCATCTGCCTTCAGCTTAGGTGGTGATCTCAGGGTCCTGGGATTGATCCCTGCATCAGGCTCCCTGCTCAGGGGAGAGCCTGCTTCTCCCTCTCCCTGCTATTTCCCTGGTTGTGTCCCCTCTCTGTCAAATAAATAAATTCTTTAAAAATAAAGAAAAGGGACTCTGATCCTAATACTAATAAAAGCTAATACAGATCAGTTGTTTAATATGTGCGAAGTACTGAGTAGTTTAGTATAATTCATTTGAATCTTCACAGCAACCTAATAGGTAGGTCCTATTATTATCCCCATTTTATAGATAAGTAGAAACTGCAGAACTTGCTCGGCATAACTCACATGGAAGTGATGCTGGGCAGTGTGGCTCCAGGGTCCGTGCTCATCACCAGCACGTTGCCTCTTGTGTCAGATGATCATTTAACGTTGGGAAAAGCTTTGTACTCTGTGCTGTTTATATGGAAGCCATGTGGGCTCCTATAGAGTATTTAGATTATAGCCTTGCCTTTAAGAAAGTCTTCCCTAGATAGGTGTTTTTTTTTTTTTTTTAAGATTTTATTTTTAAGTAATCTCTATACCCAACAAAGGGCTCAAATTCACAACCCCAAGATCAAGTTGCACTCTACCAACTGAGCCAGGTGCCCCTTCCCTAGATTTTTGTGCTAGATAACCCTGCTGCTTAACCTAAGGATGCACAAATTCTAAACAAAAATAGAACAAAAAGATGCATTGTGCACTCTGTCTGATGATTTCCAGTATTTGTTGTTGTATTCATAGCACCAGGGAGCTCTTGACTTCCTAATTGCCCGGAATAGTTGGTCACATTTGCGCTTCAGCTTAGGGTTCTGTGAAAATATGATTTCTAGGATTGCATTTGGTGCTGTAATAAGAAGATTTGCTATTTCTTTGAAGTTTGGAATGGATATTTTGTTAAATAATAGCTTTTTAAAGATACGATTTTTATTTCATTGTAATGGATACGTAACTTGTGTTTATCAGTAGCATATAGTTCTTTAAAACTTTATATGTATATTTGTAATCGTTTTTTAATTTTATCATAATAGTTTTACAAAATAGATTGTATTTATCTAGTTATGGAGATGGCACTGCAAACTTAGGGAGGGTTGATCTGTGCACAGGTAAACATGTCAGATTAGAAAATCCTAAAGTTCTCTTCTGTTAGTCTTCAAAGTAGTAGGCTCAAAGATAGCAGAATTCAGACATGGTCTTTCTGACACATACTTAGACCTTGACTTTAACTCTTTAAATTGTAGGATTTCTTTTTTTGAGCTGGGACTGATTTATCTTTAAAAGAAGTGTGTGTGTGTGATTGTAACTCACTTTATTTTGATTTTACAGCTTGAAACCAATCTACTGTACTCTTTCTTACCTGAAGTAACTAGGATGGCTAGAAAGTTTACTCACATTTCAGCACTTTTACAGGTATTTATTTGTAGCTTGTTTTATGTGAATATTTGCTCTTAAGTTTCTCACAGTCTATAAATAAAACACTTGCAAATTTCATTCTGTAAAGCTAACTATCTGTGGTATAAATGTCTGTTCTGATAATCTTGTAATGTCTGTTAACAAGAAAAAGGAATTTAATTGAAAATCTATTCCCACCAGAAAAGAAAAAAGTAGTTCAGATATTTTAAAAATACTCCCCTAAGTGAAATAACATTTTGGAATTTTAAAAGTCTTACTGCAAATCAAGCATTATGGAAAACAGCCATTATGTCAGTTCACTCTTATGTGTAAAAACCCACCCCAAATTAGCTGATTCCGCAAGTCTTAGTCTGGGCTGGGCTCAGCTAGAAGGTTCTGTCGATCCGGGCCAGGTCATCTCAGCTGGGCCTGGTCAAGCATCATTGGCCAGCTGGCTGTTCTGAGTGTCCCTCAACAGTGGTGGCTCCCCACGTGACATGTCCCAGAAGGCTAGCCCAGGCTTGTTCGTGAAGTGGCAGCCACAGCACGGGTGTCAGGAGTGCAAGTGGGAACATGCAGAGCCTTTGGAGGCCTTGGACTCGGTGTCCCTTCTGCTGTGTGTTGGTCACAGCACGATACAAGGCCAGCCCAGACTCAGGGACTGGGGAGGCCGAGTCTGCATCCAGATAGAGGAGCTACAAAGAACTGTGGCTTTTCTCTTTCAGTCTGCCACAGTCCCTGACATGTCAAAGATTTCTGGATGGTATCTTTTTAAGGATTTTGTTTGAAAATTGAATAGCTAACTCAACCAGCATTTTGACAGTTAGTGTACATGAAACATATATATAAAAAAAGCTGGAGGAGGTCTGTTTTACCAGATAAAAACTTAATTTCAGAATGTTTGATGGTTAAGTGGTTATCAAGCATTAGTTGTGGTCTTCTCTTTCACAGGCTGAGTGAAAAATGATTGAAAGTAAATTCTGGATTTCTTTGAGATAGTTGGCAGGAAGAAGCATGTATTACTTAGCACATTGATTTAATGTAGGTTTTTTTGGTTTGTTTTTACTATTCTGATATTTTGTTTCCTTCTTGTTAATAGTATATAAATTTGTCACTAACATGTATGTGTGAAGCCTGGGAAGAAATACTGATGCAGATGGATTCTCGCCTCACCAAGTTTGTGCAGGTAATGTTTGTGAAGTTTCCCCTGGATGGAGTGAAAGCAGGCACGCTGTGCTGCTTTCATTTCATTTCATTGACTTGATGAGCTGCCTGGTGGATACTGGTCGGGTTTGTAAAAGGTGAACGTTAAGCTTTCAGATGGCTCGATCTAACCTCGCACTGTTTTCCGCAGAGAGAAAAGGCTCCCCTCGCATTGGGACAACCTAGGTGGGGACGGGTCTGTGAAGTGGAGCCAGTGGGGAGTGGAGAGTCAGGACAGGTACTGAAGAGCTGACTGGGTACTTGCCATGAACTGACAGATAATCAGTTTAAATAAGGATTTGAAGGAAGGTTAAGGAAAAGGAAGGGATTCGTGCTCCTGTAGTTTTAATTTTGAATTATACATGTAGTTATAATTTTAAAGATACATATCATGATGTTACCCATTTTGTCTAGGAGAAGAGCACAACCACTTCCGTACAGGATGAATTCATGCACTTGCTGTTATGGGGGAAAGCAAGGTAGTGAACTCATACTAGGTGCTCTTGTGTTTTCTTCCTTTTTTACAGTGTTTTGTTTGTTTTGTTTTTTTAAAGTAATTCATGTTTGTTGTAAAAAAATAGAAAATTCTGGTACATAAGAATAAAAAATAGTATTGATTTTTTTATTCATCTTTTGTAAATGTAATCATTTTCTGTGGCTATAATATATGTATGTATTTCTACATGTGTAAAAAAATTTCTAATTTTTTATGGTCCCATCGGTTTTCTCCTTTATGGTATCCGCCTTAGTGTTATTCTTAAAAAGACCTTTCCCATCTTAAGAGTATTCAAAGATTGATCTGTATTTTCGTTTAGAGTTTTTGTTATAGTTTATGTTTTATTCCATCTGCATGTTCCAGATGTGATTTATTTGGTTATATGCTATGGAAGATTTAGATAATTGCCCAGCATAATTTATTGACTATTACACTTTCTCCTTATGGATTTGAAATGCCATTTTAGCATTCAGTATGTCTTAAGTATACTTCAGTCTGTTTCTGGACTTTATTGTTTTCTGTTTTCTGTCTGTTCCTTAAGTCTTAATTTTTGTTGGAGTTTCTTTTTGTTTGTTTAAAAATGTTGTTTTTACTTTTAAAATTTAAAGTTTTAAGTGATGGATTTACATTTTGAATAGGGAAGACTAAAAATACTTCCTTTTTCATTGTAGTGCTGAACTTCAGACCCTCTTAATGAACCAGTTAACAGTAAAGGTGCAGTTAAATTATCTTTGTCTTTAAATGGCTATGTGCACTTTCTTGATTTTTTTTTTTTTTTTTTTTTAGAGCAGCATGCAGTGTCTTACTTATATGCTAAATATATTTTTTCCTCTTACTTAGGGCTTAAAGAAGCTTGGCCAGTCTATAGAGTCATCATATTCCAGTATACAAAAATTGGTTATAAGTCACTTACAGAGGTATGAAGGTGATGTCAAGTTTTTGGTGTTGTGTCTGTATGTACTTGGTGTCGGTGTTCTTCATCAGCTGTCATTCTCTCTTTTTTAGCCTTTCTAGCTAAAATTGTTGCATTGGCACTTGAAGGGAATCTTGGAATGCCCAAGATATAGAGAGTCAATAATGGTACATCTTGAAATAATTTTCAAACATCTTTTCACTGGAGTAGGCCCTCTCTCTGGGTTTTTTTTTTCCTCAGCCAGACAGCCAGGACATATATTTTGGAAAGACATATACCCTTTTTTTTTCTTTTAAAGATTTTACTTATTTGTCAGAGAGCGCACAAGCAGGGGGAGCTGCAGGCAGAGGGAGAAGCAGGCTCCCCACTGAACAAGGAACCCAATGCAGAACTCGATCCCAGGACACTGGGATCATGACCTGGGCTAAAGGCAGACACTTAACCAACTGAGCCACCCAGGCATCTCCGTATACCCTTTTTTGATCAAGGAAATTATGTTTATCATTTTACAGTTTATAAAACATGATACGTGTTTTTACATTTAACACTTTTACAAGGTGTTGATTATGATTATCCTCCTTTCACACAAAAAGAAACTGAAATCCAAACTGGCCTGAAGTTACTAAGTGTCACAGCCAGACCCTGATCTTCAGGTCTCATGCTACTTCTATCCACAGCTCCCTCGTGAAGCAGTTTGCATGTGGCTGCTCAGTGTTTGACTTAAATTTCAATATATCCCTTTATGCTGAGTTGCCTAACCCCTACTGCATCACCTCAGCCTTGGATCACTGCAGGGGCCTTTGGCCTGGTTTCCAGTCCACAAATAAATTTGTGCCCCTCAAGTAAATTCCCCAGAGCAGATCTGATCATGTTACTCTTCCTTAAAAACTTCCAGCACCTTCCTATCGCTCTCAGGACCAAGACTTTTGCATTAACACACCTGCCTCTCTGCTTCATGCACACTGGTGGCCTTACCAGACTTGACATTTTTTTCTTCCAACCCAGGGCTTTTGTGCATCCATCTTGCCTTCTGGAATATTCCCACCCTGCTCTTCACTTGAACCCCTTAACTCAAATCTCACTTGTTCCGAGAGGCTTTCCCTAATTCCTCAGATTAGGTCAGGTTATTCCATTACACCTGCGCTGGTGTGCATTTCCTTCCAGGCACTTATGATAGTGGGAATGATATAATGTCTGATTGTGGTTATGAGTGTCCTTTCCCCATGAGACTGTCAGTGCTGTAAGGATCCTTTTGTTTTGGTCACTGTTTTATCTCCAGTATGTAGCACAGTGCTGACTTAAAGTTAGAGATTATACATGTTGAATGTTAAATACATATCTTTTGGGTGAATAGGATGACCATCCGACTGTCTTCAGGGTGCCAGGTCCAACTGTAGAACATAATGTGATCTCGTAAGATTAAATCTTGCAGTTGTGTATTCATCTGCATCGTCAGAATGGCCAGATGGTTCTGCTAGTTTTTAGAGAAAAGTTTGAGAAATGATCATTTCTCACAGAAAGAAAATTGTTACTTTCAGTTTTTATTTCTGAAAATTTGGAAATGTTTAGGTGAGGTCATAGCTGTCTGCCACCTTGATGATGGTAATGATAATAACTTATTTCTGCTCTGTTTTGATAGCGGTTCCGAGTCTTTATTATACCATTTGAGTGAACTGAAAGGAATGGCTTCATGGAAGCAAAAATATGAACCTCTTGGACTAGATGCTGCAGGAATTGAAGGTAGTAATTTAGTTTTTTGGTAGAGTACATTAAACACACTTTACTTAATGGACAAATGATACTTATTTATTTCTCTTTAGATGCTATTACTGCTGTGGGTTCTTTCATACTCAAGGCAAATGAACTTCTTCAGTAAGTATTGGGGATACCTAGAATCATTGACGTGAGAATATTTTATTCTAACAAGCAAGCACCCAGCAAATTGTCATGATTTTCTTAAAATTGGCTTTATAAGTTTTTATCAAAGTTATCACCTTTACATGATTAAAACAAGCCAATAACATAGCTGTCTTATCAGTTAAAGCGGTATTGTATTCTCCCGGTTGTCCTCATTCGAGTCCCCTCTCCAGGGGGAATCCTTGAACTCTTGTAACTGTTTCTGTTTTTAGTTCTTACCTCCATACCTCTAAATTGTGTAACTATACTGCAATTATTTTATTTATCCAGTTTTAGAAATTCTTCTGTGTTTGTTTCATTTTTCCTAGACTTTGTTTTCTCTTTTCTTGTGTTGTTTGCCTTTTTTATATCCTTAGATTTTTCCCCTGTCTCCAAGGCAGGATCACACCCTGGGACCCCCTCCCTCCCTGACATTTCTCCTCCAGCCTTCCCTCCCCCACACTGGTCTGGATGCGCTGTTGTAGCTGCCCCAGCAGCCTGCTAGGCAGGCATTTTGGTGCTTTCTTGGGTTAGGTCCAGACATCACAATCACCTTTGCTTCTTGCTTCCTTTCATCACTTTGTTGGGAAACATCTCCAGTAACTTGCTCAGGAAGTAGTTATGCAATGATAAACTCTGTGTCTTTTCTCCTACCTTCACGCTTTATTGATGGTTTCCAATGGGTATAGGATGATGAAGGGGAAATCATTTTCTCAGAGAACTTTGAAAGTATTGCTTTATTATATGCTGGTCTTTCTGTCGCTGTTGGAAGGTCTGGTGCTTCTGATTCTCATCCCTCTATAGGGTTTTTTTGTTTTTGTTTTTCATCTCTCAAAGCTTCATTCTTTATCCTTGATATGTTGAAATTTCACAGTAGTGTTTTTAGATGTGGGTCTTTTCATTGTGCTGATAATAAAATATTTGAATCTGAATTCTACTGTGCTATTATTTTAGTAATCTCCTTTTCTCTTTCTTCTCCTCTCTCTTTTTTTTTTTAAAGATTTTATTTATTTATTTGATAGAGATCACAAGTAGGCAGAGAGGCAGGTAGAGAGAGAGGAGGAAGCAGGCTCCCCGCTGAGCAGAGAGCCCGATGTGGGGCTCGATCCCAGGACCCTGAGATCCATGACCTGAGCTGAAGGCAGAGGCTTTAACCCACTGAGCCACCCAGGCGCCCCTCTTTTTTTTTTTTTTTTTTTTAATTAGATTTTTTGTTCTAGAAACTTGGTTGGTCAGATACTAGGCCGTGAACTGACCTGTGTCTTCTGTTTTTCTTCATGTAATTCTCATAACTGTTTCTTTTCTATTTCCTGAGAAATTTTCTTAACTGAATTATGCAACATTGTCATTCATCGTGGACCTTTATTGAGTACTTAACTATATTTTAAACATTATTCTAGATGCTGAGGGCATAGCAGTGAACAAAACTAATAAAATCTATATGGGTCTTATATTCTAATGTGGTGAGATAAAGAATTGAATGATGAAAATACATAGCAAGGCAGATAGTGTCAGGAGTGGTGAGAAAAACCAAGCACGGAAGGGGGACCTTTGGGATGCGATTTATATAGGGCAGACCTCACCAAGATGATGGTATTGGAAGGAGTAAGTCATCAATATTTGGTAAAAGAGATAGCAAGTATGAAGGCGCTGAGTTTGGAGCGTGCCTCAGGAGCCACTCCAGCTGAAGTGAATGGAGCAGAGTGTGAGAGATAGAGGATGAGCTGAGAGAGCTCATGGAGGATAGGCCACGTTGTGTAGAGCCTATAGGCAGTTGGAAGGACTTTGGCTTTTACTCTGGATGTAAGAAGAAGCAATTAAGGTTATGGAGTGACAGGATATGACTTAGGTTTTCAAAAGATCCTCTTGTTCATTGCTTAGTTTTGAGAATAAATTAAAAGAGGGCAAGGACAGAAGCCAAGAGAGAAATGGTGGTTACAATCCGAAGAGGTCAGAATCTGGGTACATTTTCAAAGTAGAAATAACAGGATTTGCTAAATGATTGTGTGGATGGTAAAATAAAAGAGTTATGGGTAATTATGAATTTAGGGTCTGAGCACCTGGAAAAGTAGGATTGACATTTACTGAAATGTGGAAAACTAGGGAGAGAATATATAAATTATATATGTGTATCTTACGTTCCTCAATTTGGGTTTATCTGGTATTTTTACAATTAGATTTAGGTTATACATCCCTGGCCAGAATATACATAACTGGTGGAGTGTCCTTCTCAAGGTGTCACATCCAGAGGCAAATGATATCTGTCTGCTTCTCCTTAGTGGCGTGAATTTTGATGACCTGATGAGTGTGTCAGCTGTATTAAATTTGAAATGTCTGTTAGATACCCTCATGGGTATCTGTCCAAGACATTGTTGATCATATTAGACTAATATTCAAGGGAAGGGTCCAGGCTGGAGATGGCAATTTGAGAACCATCAACACATTGGTGTTATTTTGAGCCATGAGGCTGGATGAGGTAGTCTGTGTGCTTAGAGAAGAGGATAGATCTGAAGACAGCGATGAGCATCCCAACATTTAGAAATGGTATTGATGGGGAGCTAGCAAAGGAAACTAAAGAAGCAAAAAGATCAGGAGAGTGGGTGAGTATCCTATAGGCTGAGCAATGGAAACATTGTAAAAAGGAATGAGGGATCAGTTGTTAGATGCTGCTAAGTCAGGTAAGGTGAAGACCAAGAATAGAACAGATAATCAGAGTATTACTAGAAATGATTATTGGTGACCTTTATCAGAGCCATGTCACGGAGTCATGGAGCCATTGGGATGCAGAATGAGAGCAGATGCAAAGAAAACAGCAAGTATCATCTCTTGTGTAGTTTTGTTGTGAACGGAATGGCCAGTGGTTGCAAATAGTTGTTGGGTTTTTCTGTCTTACGGCAGAAGTTAGAGCATATTTATATATGATGGGGTGTTCTGGAAGGGAAACAGTTGATGATGGCGGAGAGAGGAGAGGATTGATGGAGTAAGAGTATGGGAGGGGAGGGCCATGTGGTGCATGTGGGGAATGGTCTGGAAAGATAGTGTATCTATAATTACAGGAGAGAAGGCTGTGTAAAGGGTCACAGACTCTAGTATCTGGGCACATGGAGGCTTGGGGAGGTTCACTTGCAACTGTTCTTACCATCTTAATGAGATAGGCAATGTTCTGTCAGCTGGAGGTAAGAGTGGGGAGGTGGTTTAAGAATAAAGGAAAAGGTGTGAGCCAGTTGCCTTCAGGGAAGTGGGAGAAAGAACGGGTGAGTGAAACAGGCAGATGCTGCTGGTGCTGAGGGCCACTTGGGGAGCCCTTGTGAGAATGTAGAAATGCCCCTGGTCAGCGTGGCTGCTGGCTTTTCTCCAGCCGGGGTGCCAAGTGTGCCGGGGCACAGGGCAAGTGAGCACTTAGATTTGCTAGGCTTGGTGACCAAAGCGAAGCCAAAGTGGGGCCAGGGAATTAAAGCGAGGGCAAGATTCAAATGAACCTTGAATTGGAGCTGGTTTGGGGGTAAAGTGGGAACACAGTGTGGGTGAGAGACAGGGAGGAGAGGTGGGGGAAACCAGTAGGTGGTAGTTAGGGAGACGAAAGCTGGGGTGCTGAAGAGAGGTCCCTGGGAAGACAGGTGGTTGTTGGTGAGTGGCATGCTTGATGTTGAGAGTCAGAGGGTTCAAGTTGGTAGTGAAGGGGTGTAGGCTGTCAGCTTTGGAATTAGTAGTCAAGGTGAGTGGAGGACTTGACCGTTACCTGAACTGTCGCATTGAGTTCTTTATCACAGAAGTCCTTGTCTTTCAATTTCCAAATGTGTTTTCTTATTTCTTTAATCATTTTTCAAAGCTGTGCTCTTGCTTTGTAGATGACATCTTCTCAAATCTCTGAGGACATTAATTAGATATTTTTATAAGCCTGCCGTTCCCTGAATGATCTCCACTTCCCGGGTCACTTATCTGTTTGTCTTGGTCTCGTTGCCAGCTTTCTTCAGATACCCGATGCTCCAGTGTTTACTCATGTTTCTTCATGAGGTGATTTGAAGTTGCTTGGAATCTATGTGCCCAGGGTGGCTTTGGCACCCGGGCAGGCATGTAGAGCTGTGTGGTGGGCCGCCAGGACCTGCATGGGACCACCTCAGCTCTTCCCAATTTATGCGCTTTCTTGGGAAAACCCTGTTCATTTCTGTTTGGGGCATAGACCCATAGGCATTCATGTTTAGGAGGAAAGAACATATTGACTGCTCTGTATTTCGGTTTGTCCTCCTGTGTCCAGCCCCGTGTGTCATCCTGAGGGCTGCTGTCGAGCCTGACATTTGCAAGGTCCAAAGTGTCCCTGGGATTCTGCAGGCCGGAAGTGCCGTTGCTGGTTGTCCTCTCCGTGTTCTGCGTGTGACTGCCTCTGTTGAGCTTCGTCAGCCACGTGTCCTTTCTGACATTTCTGAAATTAATGTCTCTTCTACCATCCTTTTTGTTTTTGTGAGTTTATAGTACATCCCTCCCCCCCACCCCATTATCATTTTAATGGGGTTTTAGAAGGTAGAGGTTGGAGACATTTGTGTTCAGAAGACAAAATGAGAGGAAGGATGACATTGCTTTTCCTATATGTTGAATTATTTTTTGGTTCACCGTATTTGCAGAGTAGGTATAAAATACTAAGCTTTTTGTGATCACTTTTCAATATGAACGGAAGGTAGTTTATTTAACTTTTTTGCTCCCTGGAAGAAGTTGAATATAGCATTGTTATTTTAGGTTATAGATGAAGAAAGTGAGGCAGTGAGAATTTTGATGTTCTCCTCCACCATTGCTTTCCGGGTATAGGGGCCGGTCAGAGTATTGATTGGGATAGACAGAAAGGAACTTTTCTTTCCTTTTTTCATTTTGCCACAAGAGAGTTTTGATTATATTACTTGGTAATATCAGAAATGTGGCAGTCTTTTTATGTCGGGTGTTTTCCTCTAGAGAGCTAGGTTAATGATGGTGACCCACCTCTCCAGTAGTATGAAACTTCTTTCTTGGAAGGGGCTTTGCAAGTAATACCTGCATCTTAGGAAAGAAAGATGCAGTTATTACTTGCTTAGAGTAGTTGTTACCCTGTAGATAGGAGCCTAAAGAGATTTTTTTTGAAGTGATAGCCCTGCCCATATTTAAAGATAGTTTCATCGAAATGAACATGACTTCCACTTTTAATACTTAAATTTGGGGAATCCATTTCTGTAAAGCTCAAGGAAATTCAGTTTTTGAGATCAGTTTACTATAAGCATCAAAAATCAACTTCCAAAAATAATGTCCACTGATAGCAGAGATAGTGACATAGTACAAATTTATAATCCTGGTTTTCTGTTGGCGTTGATGTTTTTTCTTCCTGCTGACCAGTGAGTATTTTTTTTAACTGAGAAAAGTGCTGAAAATGGTTTTTTGCCGACTTCTTTTGTTTGCAAAGTTGAAAAAGGATTTCATACTTTACTGAATGGTGGGAAAGACCATTACACAGTTTGTGGCAAGACTGTTATAACCAGTTAGAATCTGAGTCATTTGCTTTATTTTTGAGAAGAATCAGGACTTGCTCTTCTGAAGCTTTATTTTTAGGTATGTTTTTGATTTGTAAAATCAAAGGTTTAAATGTCCTTCAGATAGGATAAAAGAGAATGATAAGGATGATTATATCCCAGAACAATTGAACGATGATATATGAACCACACATTATAATTTTATTTTTGATTTCTTTTATTTTTATCTTTTCAGTTATAGATAGTATGAAAAACCTCAAAGCATTTTTTCACTCATTTCTTTTATTTTTGTCTTTTCAGAGTTATAGATAGTAGTATGAAAAACTTCAAAGCATTTTTTCGCTGGCTTTATGTGGGTAAGTTGATCGAATGAAGCATTCTTATTACCTTCACCCTTCTTTAAAAATTGTGGGTGTATCAATTTAGAATATTTCAGTTATTCTGATAAAATTTCAAGTAACTGTAGGAGTAGAGCCTTTTACCCTTCACGGGTGTCAGTGTTTTCAACACACAGCCCGCCTTCCTCCCTCCGTACCACCGGCCCCAGCCTCCCCAGATGTCACTTGTAGCACTGGTTGTCCCTGTCACTCACTGCTGAAGGGTAACCTTTTTTTTTTTTTTTTTAACTTTTTTTGACCTAGTAACTTTTCCTTAGGTCAAAATAACATTTTTGCATCTCAGCTATGTAGGCGTTAGGTTTTTTAAAACAAGACGGGGAAAAAGCCAAGATCTGGCCTCTGCTCTTGAGTAGCTTATTTTCTGTTCTGTTTCTTGATCTTCCGTTTCTAGAGATATGCCATCCGTTAGGGTAGCCAGTAGCCACCTGTGGCTCTTTAAATTAGTTGAAATTACGGGGCCTCTGGGTAGCTCCGTCCATTAAGCAGCTGCCCTTCAGCTCAGGTCATGATATCAGGATCCTGGGGTTGAGCCCCGCATCTGGCTCCCTGTTCAATGGGGAGCCTGCTTCTCCCTCTCCATCATTCTCTCTCTCTCTTTCAAGCAATAAAGGAATAAAATCTTTAAAATAAATAAATTAGTTGAAATTATGTAAGTTACACGTTCAGTTTTTTAGTGACGTTATACACATTTGAAGTACTCCGTAGCCACACACTGTTAGTGCCTGCCACGTTGAACAGCACCAAACAAGAAGTTTCTAGCATCCTTTCCATCAGACACTAGTGCCGTAGCTAAGTTGAATGCAGACCACTCATTGCCTTTCTTTGTTCTACATAGCGTCTTTTCATTTGTGGGTAGTTAACCAGGATTTACTGACTTCATAGTCCATGTTCTAATGCTTACTCTGCAGCATGTGCATATTTTATGTAGGTCCATTTGAACTATTTTTGTGACCCCCCCCTTAATATCATTGGAATAATCCAGCATACATTCCCTTCCAACACAGGCAAAAATTTGGTTATAAATGAGATTTATTCCTCGTTTGTTAAAATTCTAAAGAGTAAATAAAATAGAAGTTAAATTATCTGTAATGTGCTCACATCTTTTAACAAATGTCCAGATCTTCAATTCTGGTATCTTACAAACAGACTTTGTATTTGTCAGCGTAATGTAATTGCTTGTGGTAAAAAAAGAATGGGATCCACAGATGTTGGCATTTAAAATTCTTTTTTTTTTTCTCCTCAAAACCGTACCAATGCTAGCCAGAATGGGGAGCCAGAGTGTTCATCAGGCCAGCCTGCTTAATATCAGAGATGCTGATTAGAATAAATTACAATATTAAAACTCAATGAGATCTTTGAAATAATTTTCTTTTACAGAAGAGGTTTGGTTTTACTTGTAATTACTGGCGTAGTTGAGGCAGTTTATATTCTATTGCATGTCCTAACTCTAATGAGAAGCCTGATTAGGAGAGAAATGAATTACTGCTCAACCTTATCATTAGAGCAGGGCAGCAGAAAGCACGCTGGATGGGAGAATCCGAGACCTCATTATAATCCTGGCTCTGTCATTTGTTAGTGGTGTCGCCTGGGTTTGCTCCTTTGGAAAATGTAGCCTCCATGAAGGCAGGAACTTCTTTTGTATTGCTATATCCCCAGCACCCATAGTATGCTCAGTGAGTACTTTTTGGATGGATAAATGAATGAATGAGTGCACTAGATCGTGGCTTGTTTTTCAGATAATTTAGAAGTTTGAACTAATTAAGGACGGTTTCTAAAATAATCCATGTTTGCAGAATCACATCCAGCATGCTTATTCCTGACCGAATGCAATTACGAGGGATATTCAAACAGTGCAAAAACACATGCAGCATTCCTCTTGACTTAGGTGGACATAATATAAAAATACAACCCTCGGAGAGGACAACAAGAATTGGCTGCAGATATTAGAGAGTCTGTAAATACACGTATATTTAAGTGTATGTATGTACACAAAAGTCTTAGTGCAAATATCTTTGTGTAGCAAAAGACCCAAGGGAGAGAAACGTGTTTGGTATTCTAAGGCTTTTGAAGGACCGAATTGTTTGCAGATTTTAAGAGAAGAAATGCCATATGTTAGGAGAGGAATGAATCTGGTCAGTGCACGTCGTTGAGTTGATGGAGAAAATAAAAAATAATAGTTTAGGATTGTTAGACCAGCCTTTTTGAACCTGAAAATACAAGTCAAATTTAGAGTCTTCACACTTTAGTTTTTAGAAGGAAAATAAGTTTTCCTTGGTGAAAAGATTTCTTTGGTTGAATATTGAAGATTTAGTCCAATGAAACACATTTAGTCTTTGAAATGTATCTATATTAAAGTTAGGTTTGTACCTTTCCTTTAAAGATAGTTTTTTGATTTCTCTTTCCAGCAATGTTGAGAATGACAGAAGACCACGTGCTTCCAGAGCTGAATAAGGTAGTATGTGGTAGTACGTTTTCCAATGTGTTAACTGCTGCTCTGACTGAGCTCAGCTTGGCTGCTTGGCTCAGTATTCATACACCATTGCTAGTTGACAAGGTGTCAGGCTGTAGACCCTAAAGGCAGCTTAGTAATTGAGTCTTTTTTTTTTCCCTTTAAGAAATTTTATTTTTTCATCTCACAAAATACCTTTACTATGGCTATCTAATTTTATAATTTTCATGTTTATATAAGGTTTTGTAATCTGTATTATGTAGGGTGCTTGTATTCTTTACTTTCCTTAAGTTTTGAATGCATTTTTATTTCCTTGGAAATCTGGTACTTTAACTATTAGTCCCAATGCTGATGTCTGGTAAACAGTAGTTTCTCTGATTACAAGGATTGTGACCGTGGCAGTGGAATTTCCTTTAAGTAAGAACTTTCAGACTAGGGCAACATTCCCACCTGATTTCTCTGGTCACTCATCCTCACCCCTGCCCAAACTCTGGTTCAGATAGATGAGGTAATCTGGGGCCTGTGAAAATGGAGAGCATTAGAATTAGCTCCAGTGGACTGGATGAATAAGGGATCGCCATTCTGAGACTCTTACAGAAAGCAGATCTTTTGTGCTGTGGCTGACTGGCCTCACAAACCAGCGAGGTTCACATTAGCTGTTTCGCTGAGACCACTGTTGTTTGGGGAAGTAAAATGCGTCTGTTATAGGGGGAGACCCCTGGGTGTAATCCCCGGGTATAATTCTGTGAGGGCTGAACAACTCGGGGGGCGGGGGTGAATGCAGGGTCACTGCAAGAAGCAGGCCAACCACCAAGCAAGCACCACTGTTGAGTTGTAGGTGCTCACTCAAGTCAAGGTGACTTCTCTGGACGTAGGCTCTTCTTCCAGAGCAGGGACCCTATACACAGTCTTATTAGCACAAGACCTAAAATAATGAACAACTTCAGGCCATAAGGAATTCTGTAGCTCTTGGATTAGCTGATTGGAAAAAGGGGTATAAAATGTTTAATTACATGCTTGTCAGAGCTTCAAGATTTCATATTTTCACAGTTGCATAATCTTTTGGATTTCTATTGATGTTTCTTTGAAGGAACTTTGCCTCTTTGTATCATGGCTTTTAGTAGATAGTAAAAAAAAAAAGTCACATTTATTATTACATAATATAAGATCTTTGGGGAAGCTTTCTTTTTCCTTGACTTGTTTTTCCTTTTGTTCCTTTCTGATTTTGATAGATGACTCAGAAAGATATCACATTTGTTGCTGAATTTCTTACTGAACATTTCAATGAGGTACGGAAGTGTTACTTCTATAATGCTGGTTTTTTTTTTTTTTTTTGAAAGAGTTAAACAGTTGCCATAAACCTGGGTAATGGTGAGAAGTAATCACATTTAATCCAATTTAATTGACATTTTTAGCAGCTGTGCTTTTTAAACTATTGAACTAATTAATGGCAATACTTATTTTAGAGCCTTTATAAATCCAACTTTTGTTTGGATGTGTGTCATACAATCCCTAGAAGAAAAAGATAACTGCCACTAACAGCTCTCTTAAAAAATAAACGTTTTCATTAAGCTTAAGAATTTTTTTTTCTTTCTCTTCTGTGAGTTAAGAGCTAAACTATGCTTATTCTTTCTAGGCTCCAGACCTTTATAATCGAAAAGGAAAATACTTCAATGTTGAAAAAGTTGGTCAGGTATGGGCATTTGATTGAAAGTGGATATTACTTTTTTTTAGAAATTATTAAAACTAATGCTAAAACTTTAGCAGTGTTAGTCTTTATTATCCAAAGTTTCTGGAAAATAATACAGTGCTAGCTTACACAGCAGCCCTTTTCTTTTAGTAAAGTAACCAAAAAGGAGCGGTTTTTAAACTTTTGGTCTCAGAACTCGTTTATATTCTTAATAACTACTGAAGACTCTGAAGAGTTTTGCTCTTTATCAATGGGAGATATTAGTAGGCATTAGAAATATAACAGAATACAAAATTATTTAAAAGTAACAGCAATTCCACGTAACTGTTACATGTTACATAAATATTTATAATAAAAATGACTATATTTTTTTAAAACAGTTTAGTGAAGAGTGACATTGTTTTGTAGTTTTGCAAATCTCTGCTGTCTGCCTTAACAGAAGACAGCTTCTCATAGCTGCTGCTTCGTCTCCTGTGTTGGGTTTTTATGTTTAATGTATGTAAAGAAAATCTGGCCTCACATAGGTTTTAGAAAGGGAGAAGTATTGTAATGGCTGTTTCAGATAATTGTGGATGTTTTTTGATATTATACCAAATCTTGATAAGAGATAGTATCTTAAAGGTTACCTTTAATATGGAATCTAAAATTGCATCAGTGAACTTTTCATACTCTGATACATTAAAATCCATTCATCAGTCTTATGCTTTGAATGGATCTTTTACCTGTGCATGATTTTGTAGTATTATGTATTGGTCATTTGGAAAATACTGGCTCACTGAGTTATGCAGATCTTCTGAATGCTGACATCTTTCCGTATGCAGTATCCAAAAGTCAGATTTATGAATATCTGCACCAATATCATCAGAAAATCTTTAAGTACCATGGCTGTCAAGTACACAGTAGTAGATACAGATTTTCCAAAATTTTAATTTTTGCTTGAATGTTTAAATTTTATCATTGGCAGCAAATACTGTCAGTTGTTTTGCTTAAAGTGACAGGTTTGCTTTATTTTCAAGAAAATATCTACCAAATACCCACGTACGAATAATCATAGCTTATCTGCCAGTCATTCTTTCAAATAAAAATGGAATTCCATTAACAGCAACAAATTGCCTGGCTTACCCCACAACTACAGCAATTTCTTAAATGTTTTTCCTCATGGTCACCATTGTACTTTGGTATTGGCCAAAGTGCTTTATGTTTACTTCCCAACTTTGTGACAGAGAACAGTAAAAAGATTTGTACTCCAGGGTTGAGATTTAATAAAATTAATTATTTTAATAGCTTCATTAAATAAGTGAAACTGTCAGTATGTAACAAAAAGGAATACAGTGCCCACTAGTGTGGCTTAAGACCACCACCTTGCCTCCCAGCGTCAGTTTTCCCCACCTGTGCTTTTGACCCTTAGTGCAGATGTCAACAGAGTTGAAAGGGCAAATAACATTTTGACATTATAAAAATAGTGTAATGAAATCTAGAAATACTAAAAAAAATAAAAATAAAAAAGATAAATAAAAATAGTATTGACCGCATGGATCCTTGAAGCATCTTTAGGGCTCCAGGGGGTCTGTCGACCACACTTTGAGGACTGCTGTCCGAGAGTAGATTGACAAGTTGATACTTTTAAAATTAATTTATAACATAGGTGCGCATGCGCGATATCTCTCTCTCTCTCACACACACACACACACACACACATAAGATTAAAGTGTCCTTCATGAAAATGGAACACAAAATTTAAACTCTGTGTGTGGTCTCTGCATCCATAGCATTCTGATCTTCCAGAAGTTTGCAGCTTGCCAAGTGGCTCGGCATTTAGTGAATTTTGGTCACTTCACTTGGAATAATAGCCGTGCAATTTCAGAGCACTTGTCAGTAAAACAATCACTTTTAAAATAGAATAATGCTAACGATAAGTCTTTGAAGCCTCCTCCTTTGTTTATGACATTTAAAATTTTGATTTGGTATTAATTCTAGTACTTGAAAGATGAAGATGATGATCTCGTGTCACCGCCTAACACAGAAGGAAACCAGTGGTATGATTTTCTTCAAAATAGCAACCACCTTAAAGGTATTTAATGAACTTTGTGGATTTGGGCCATGTTTATACTTGCTTTGAGACCAGTATATTAACTAGGAGTGTTGCTGGACAATTACTGAATATTTATTTCAGGTCTTTAGATCATTTGTGCCTATTGTTTTTGATTAGAGAAACAGCAAAATAAATAGTATATGACTTTACTGTGATAGAAAACAGTCTGAAATTAACTGTGATAGGGTAAGATTGTTTATTCTCAGATCCTCTTGTCTGTTTTGTACCCTATGAAAAAAATAGGATATTAGGAAGAAAATTACACAGCTTGCTAGTGAGAGAAGTCTTTTGCTGATTCCCGTTTGTGAACTCCTAAAAGCATAGTGATGCTTAACTATTCTCCTGAGATTTTAGGGTTTTTTTGTGTACTTGTGCTTTTCATTCTCTAGGATCTTGAAATGTTGGTATAGTAAAATGATCCAACATTATTCAGGATGCAACACAAAATAGCAACCACTAAATATATCAGAACTTCACTATTTTAGATGCAGATATTTTGGAAGCAGTATTTCTTTGCTTGCCTCACAGAGTAATTTGATCACAGCCTGTCACTTTCTTAGGTCATTAGGGTAATAGCCCCCAGCATGTAGTTCTTTCCTTCATGCCCCCAGGAACCTAGGCACCTGTTATCCCCATTTCTTAATAACGAAGCTGAAGATCAGAGAAGGCCCAAATCACATAAGCTGGTACGTGATGAAGCTAGGTGTCTGCTGACCTCAAAGCCCGAGTTTTTAACTCAACTCAGTGGTGACCTCTGCCACTCTCTCTGGTTTCTGTTTATCTGAATGAATGAGGTTGGATGGGAGAAGGAGAGAATTCTCTGAAGCCCAAAACTTGGCTTGTTGCCCTTTTATTTTAACCCTAGAAGTTCAAATTCTTTTTCAGAGCAGGACATTTTTTATTTCTCTATTTCTTTATTTCTCTATTGATTCAGGTAGTTAGTTCAGTTAGTTATTGATTCAGTTAGTTCTTTTTCAGAGCAGGACGTTTTGTATTTCTCGAGATCTATTGATTCAGTTAGTTATTGAAAGGAGGGAGAATAAAGGTACAGCTGACTCAGCTCATTGCTGTTTAATCAGGATGCATCTCCAGCCTAAGGAGGGCTCATGGCAGTGTGCCAGGAGTGGTGGCACCAGCGCCCTGTCTGAGAGTGGGTTAATACTGGTCCCAGGAACTTGGGTGGGCTAAAAATGGGCCCTACCCTCTTTTTCCTCACATCTGTGGCTGAACAGGAAGGCCTAATCTTAGCTAGGAGCATGATGTTTAACCAAGATAACACTTCGTATTATTAACTTCATCTCAAGGTTTTGCTTGAGTTCATTAATTATCGTTTCTTAGTCTAGTGTGAAGAAATACTCTCATTATGGAACTGTGTCTGGTTTTTGTCCTTTTTTGTAAGATTTATTTATTAGAAAGAGAGTGTGTGGTGGGGAGGGACGGAGCAAAAGGGAGAGAGAATCCCAAACAGACTCGGGGCTGACCGTGAAGCCCAACACAGAGCTCAGTCCCATGACACTAAGCTCAAGACCTGAGCCAGAACCAAGACTTGGATGCCCAACTGACTGTGTCACCCAGACGCCGCATCGTTATGGAACTGTTAAGAAAACTTTCGTGAAACTTCTTTCTAGCACTTTGCAAAAATTATGTGCTAAATATTTGCTACATGTACTTTCTCAGGGTACATGAGGGAGTGCTGGGGCTGTAGGATGGGTGAAAGTCGCTGCTCTGGGCTTCGGGGGTTGGAATCTGCTCTGCAACTTCTCGTGATGTGACTGAGGGCAGACTGTCTAACCTGTCTGTGCCCGTTTTCTCATCAGTAAAATGAGGGCGGTAGTGGTGCCTCCCTCAAAACACCATTGTGAGGATTCTGTAAATGCAGGTGGAGCGCTGGGTGCCCAGTTCATGGCTCCTGAGCAGTAGGGGTGCTGTCACGTGAGCTGTGGTTACTCAGAACACTTCTGACACTAAAATGAGAGGGTTTTCCTCCTGAGACCAATTCTGATACCAACTGTGTGTCCTGTGATTCATTTCTGATGCTGACTACCCAGACTCCACAGCTTCCATGGCTCAGTCCCACCGGACCGCCTCTGTGGCTTCTTCAGTCCTGAGGATTAGGTCCCCGGATGGCCTACATTTCTGTTCCCACCCTCGCTCCCTCCCCCTTTCAGGTTGGTTATTTGCTAAAATGGCCCACAAAACCAAACACTTCACTTAGGTTTACTGCTTTATAATAAAGACACAAGTCAGAACAGCCAAGTGGAAGAGCTGCAGAGGCAGGGTGTGGGGGGAAGGGCTCAGAGCCCCCATGCTTGCTCTGGGTGTGTCACCCAGCACCCAGAAGCCCTCTGTTCAGGGGTTCTTTATGGGGTTTTCATTATGCGGGTGGGATTGATTAAATGATTGATGACTGGTGATTGGACTCAAGTCCAGCTCCTCTCCCCACCCTGGTAGTTGGGGGATGAAGGCTGGAAAGTCCAGGCTTCTATCAGGGCTTAGTCTCTCTGGTGACCAGTCCTCATTCTGAAACTATCTAGGGATCTACCCACAGTCGCATTGTTACACCAAAAGATGTTCCTATCACCCTTATCACTCAGGAAATTCTGAGGGTTTTAGATGCTCTGTGCCAGGAACCAGGGACAAAGATCTGATACCTTTCTCTGCTCCCACAGCATCTCTCACCTGTGGGAAGCTTAAAATGTTAACCCAATTAAAACTCACTTTGTCCAGCATAGCTGGGACATGAGATGCTGGGAGTGAGGGAAGCCTAAAGAGCTCAGGAGAAGAGGGTGGGCCTGGGAGTCCGAGGGTTGGATTCAGAGGTGTGAATTCATTATCATTTTCACCCCAGGCAGATTGCCCAAACCTCCTGGGCCTCATTTTTTAAATCTGTAATTTGGAGAGTGCGATGCTTACTTTGTCCAGCTGTTGTAAGCAATAGAAGTAACAGGATGGAATGTCGTATAGTTGCTACCCCTGAGCGCTTAATTATGTATTACTCGCTACTTGGTAAAGTAGCCTTTTGCAAAGTAAAGTGCTTATTTACACAGCACTAGTTTCTTGTGTCTTGTTTCTGTTTTCAGTATTATACTTTTCGAAAACAATACTGGACTGCTGTTGTCAGCCCATTGTGGCAAAGAGTAGAGAATGAACTCTATTTTATTGTGTCTTGTGGTTCCCAGATCACCCCTTCCTTCTTATACCCAGCAGAAGCAAACTGTCAGATTTGGGTAGGGGAAAATAGAATGAAGAGTACGGAGCTGCTAGGCCTCAGCCTGCAGTGGGTGCGGCAGGTTTTAGTGGGCCGGCAGCAGGGGATGGTGAAGAAAAGGCAGGAGGCCACGGTCATTGGTGGTGAGGTTGTGTGAGGGGCTAATGACGCAGCCAGGGAGATTGCCACTGTCAGATGAGCCGTACGGGCTGCCTCTGACAGATTATTTTCTCCTAATCGCTTGGTTTACTCTAACTTTGTGATTTTGTTTTTGTTTCTCTTCTTGTTTGAAACCAGAAAGTCCTTTGCTGTTTCCTTATTATCCCCGAAAATCATTGCATTTTGTGAAAAGGCGGATGGAGAACATTATTGATCTGTGCTTGCAAAAACCAGCAGTAAGTTTGAAAAAGCAATGCATGCCTTTGTGGAGGAGTGAGAGTATCCACAGTATGGGGTTCGCTTATGTAAATGGTCAGAGTTACTAAGGCGAGCCGTGTGAAATGCTGTTCACCCTCTGGCTAACAAAAATGGCAGGTTCACTGGGTTCACCCTAACATTTCCTCTTACTGTTAGTTTCTTACATAAACTAAGAAGTAAACAGATAACAAGGTTATTAGGAGTGTTGGTATCCTTATTATTTTATTTGTTCCTAGAACAAACTTCTTATACACAGTCTCGGCTAGAGAGCTATCATGTGTCTAGCTTACTGCTGCAGGAGGGAAGTAAGATGCCGTGAGATGCCATGAGAGAAGGGGATGGGCTGGGTGTTCTTAGTCTTCTATGCATACTTCTTTCTGGTGTACTTTTCAGAATTTCTTCAGTCTCTTTTCCTTGCTGTTAGAACTGTCATTGAAGTTTCTTGTGTGAAAGCTTGGTGATCTAGATGGTTTTTTACTAGACTTGAATAGTGAAGATCAGGTACTTTCTGTAGAGTACTTGTGTGTATGTAAATGCTTTGATTGTACTTTTAAAAATCTATTTTATTTAGGATGTCATTGGAAAATCGATGAATCAAGCAATCTGTATTCCATTATACAGGGATGCTAGAAGGTAATTCTATTTACTTTTTGGGTGGTAAAATTTAATGGCCAATTTAATTTTTTCTTACCTTTTTTTCTTTTGTTTTAGTCAGGACTGTACACGCAGATTATTCAAATTTCCTTTTCTGTAAGTGTGTGTTTCTTCTTGTCTCATACGAGCAATACAGTTTTGTTCTCTGATGTGATAGCTAAATACCATGTTTTGACATTAAATGTTTTTCCTCAGGTGGAATAATAAAACCTCAAATCTACATTATCTTCTTTTTACTATTTTAGAAGATTCACTTTATAAAATGTGCATTTTAAGGAGACATACTGATATTTCCCAGTAAGTATTAATCTAAAGTTGAGATAGAGAGTGAGATTTTATTATTTTTAGTAATAAATGTACAGCTTCCCTCCCTTATATTTTGGGGTTCAGTTAAGCTACCTTATGAGTTTAGGCTTGCCGGTGCACTGTTCTTAGTCTTATATTTCACATCATTAAGATGATAATGCCAAATCACAAGCTTCATGATCCCTTTTGATTCTAGATTATTAATTTTGTACAGGTGTAGTTGTGACTTGTAGGATTTCTTTAGCATTAAGAAAAATACAACAGCCGAACACTCTGGATTATATCTCATGAACTTGAAGCATTCGGAACTGTGGCTTAGGTTCCTTATGGAAAGGATTTTAGCCTCGGGTTAGGTATGCCTTTCATTAAACAAGAGGCCTGCCTGTAGAGACTTCTTTTGAGAATCTGAAGTAAAAGTTCTAAAAAATAAATCACGTACAGAATATCATTAATATCGTAGATGGTTTTAATCTGAATTTGAAGGAGATGTTTTGAGACCCGAGATGGGCCGAAGAAAAAATAATTTGGTTGTTCCCAATTGTCCTTAATTTTATAAGGTATCAGTGACTAAGATTTAAACAAGTTGCAATTTGATGTAGGTTTGTCTATCTAGGGGTTTAAATTAATTGTTGGTTTTGCAGAGTGAGCATAATGGTATTTTGGGTCTGGGACTTGGCTGTTTAGGTAAATATACTAACACTGACAATCATGTTCTTTCAAGCATTTAGATTATTGGCTATCCAAGTTGTTCCACAGTCTTTTTTCTCCCCCCTTCTTTCTTCAAGATCTGTAAGTAATGGACTAATTGCTATTAAATTTGGGAGCTTCACGTATGCCACAACTGAAAAAGTGAGACGAAGGTAAATCTTGAATCTTGTTTGGATGAGATTATATACATATACAAATGATATGTGCATATGTTTAATTATAGAAATATGGTCAGACTCAGGTACAGTGATTATGTTACGCTTAGGAGTCCTTTGTAGCTTGCAGCAGAGTGCACAGGATTGCTTACATAGCTTCTACTTCGATTGACTTAACAATTGAATAGAATCTTACTGCCCTTCAGGAACTTACATAACTGTGGTTTCCTGTGAGTAATACTTCCGAGCTCCCTGTCTGTTGAGAAAGCAAGATGGTTCCAGGGGGCCTGTGACTGAAGTTGTTGTTACAACAATAGTAACGTGTGGTGGCCTCATTGTCACTGCTCTGGGATGTTCTTAGAATATAAAAGGGTAACAGTAGCAAAGTCATCCCTGAGGCTGTGGAGTGGACACGCCTCACAGGCCAAACCTTTTCTCACTCTCTTTTCCTTACATAAAAGGAGTTTTTTATGATAATGTCTTTAAAGTTGTTGTGACTTTTCCTCCTTCAATCTTGTTTTTACTTCTCAGTCTAGTTAGCCCAGTTTGTTTAGCCAGTATATCTACAAGGTGCCATTCCTGGAATTTCCACAGCCTTAAGGCCTGACTATTGGTATCAGGAGTTTTCTGAAACTGTGAACCAACCTCACCCTCCCAGATTTTTCTTTTTTCATGGTGACCTGTTTTTTAGGGCCTACTTCTGTTTGTGAATAATCACTGCAATTGGTAACTGATTTTAATGCAAACTGATAATGTATTTTCAGTGTATGAGTATAGAATGTCACTTGGTTTTTGTTGTGTTAAATTTTTGCATGGTACCATAATACTTTCTCAGTTGTCCCAATCATCTATGATGTAACAGAACGTCATTCACTTCTAGCGCCTACAGCTGCTTAGATGCACAGTTCTATGATGATGAGACTGTAACAGTAGTTCTGAAAGACACCGTGGGGCGCGAAGGGAGAGATAGACTTCTGGTCCAGTTGCCATTATCTTCAGTGTATAACAGCGAGGATGCCTCAGAGTATCAGTTCACGGGGGCTTACTCCACAAGGTAACTAACTCATCAGTAAGAAACTCTTGCTGACGAAATAGTTCTATGCTTTTGAATGTGTATTGTACATTGTGGTTCCTTAGGTATGCTAGGCAGTGCTTACAAGGAATAGTAGGAAAATCAACTGGACAGAAGTACTATTTTTTTTTTTTTAAATACTGGCTACAACAGCTCTCCTGCCCTTTTGCTTTGCTAATAAATCAAGAGTATTAGGTGAAATAAGGTGGGGAATTATTTGGAGTAGCGAATGGGACTTCTGTACTATTTTTAAGGGTAGCTTGAACCCCAGTTAATAACAGAATTAGTTATTTTAGATTTGCTTCTATTGGTTTCCTCCCAGAATCAGGACTTCAGTAGCCAGTGGAGGGTACACAGCCAATTCTAGAGATGGCTTTAGTTTTCTTAGATTTAAGTGAGTAGGTCCCTTCTCTAATTAAAAAATTTGTCTGTTTGCTTTCCTTGAGCAGGAATCAGAAACCTTAGTAAGATGCCATTTTAGCTATTTGGAATTGCAGTATTTTCCTAGGATATAGGAAAATGCCTTTTATACAGTGGCTGATAGAATTATTTTGGAACTTGGAATGTTGGTAGAAATCAAACCCATAGTAGATCCTCATATTACCTCCTTGTAAACCAGAGAGAAGATTGCCTTTTCATTTTGGGGTTGCATTTTCCCTTCTCCAGGCTAGATGAACAGTGCAGTGCTATTCCCACACGTACCATGCATTTTGAAAAGCATTGGCGATTACTGGAAAGTATGAAAGCACAGTATGTTGCTGGGAATGGTTTTCGCAAAGTGTCCTGTGTGGTAAGTATTTACAGATTGTTTACTTACAGAGTAATGGGAGGAAGTGACTTTGGATCTATAAGGTCCTTTCAGAAAGTGTAAACATTTCATGGTGTATTACTTTTATTGATTATGAACATGTTGTGGTCTTAGCTATGTAGCTTTCTTGCTCTGAGAAAGTTGACTGAGTAATACAATTCTAGATGTTAATTAATTATTTATTTATTTTTTAAAGTAGTCTTGACACCCAGCCTGGGGCTCAAACTCATGACCCTGGGATCAGGTATCTCATGCCTTTGCGACTGAGCCACCAGGCACCCCTTGATTTCAAATATTAGGAAAATTGTCACTATTGTATATAGAGATCCTTTTATAGCAAATGAGGCTAAGTTTAGTGATTTTGTTGTAAATCGATGGAAAATAACTTTCATACAAAACCATTTTTCAAAATTTTGATTTCTTATATATTATTTATTAGTTCAGCCATTAATTTAAAGATTCTTTATTTGATCTTTTCTTCTCCAGTTAAGCTCAAATCTCCGTCACGTAAGAGTATTTGAAATGGACATAGATGATGAATGGGAGCTTGATGAATCTTCTGATGAAGAGGAGGAAGCCAGTAATAAGCCCGTGAAGATAAAGGAAGAAGTGTTGTCGGAGTCAGAGGTTGAGAACCAGCAGGCCAGTGCTGCCGCGTCTGCTCCGGAGATAGTCATCAAAGTGGAAAAACTTGACCCTGAGCTGGACTCCTAATCTAGCTTGCCCTGATTTTGTGTGTCCTCATTATGTCAGGAAGGACATGGGAGATGGGTAAAGATGTTTTGGATCACTTTTCATTTTCTTTGTATAACAAAGAAATAAACCATACATTTTATTTTTCCTTATTCTGCTTCAGCTTCTCTTAGTAGTAGAGTCACTATGATAGACTTTCTTTTTGGTGAGATTTCTTTTTAATACTGTGTGCAGAACTCATGTTTAAAGAAAACATAAATTGAATGTGAAGAAAATTTCAGTCTTTTCTGTTAAAAGATAGGTATCAGGAATCATTCCTATATCAAGAAGAAATTACATTTAAGTAGTCATTCATCATTAGAATTTTTGATGCCTTTAGTATTTTGAAAACATAGATACTTATTCCTTTTCCGTCTTCCCCCTTCTAGTTGATTCTCGGTCTCCAGAATGCTTTCAAAATTATATTTTCAAAATTATACTGCTTTACTGTAATGCTAAATAAGCCAAAAGATGGGTACTGTCTTTATCATCTAAACAGCAAAAACACTGCTTGACACCTACGTAATTATCTTCTCATTTTGTTACTGGATGTGAGCTCTGAATACTTTGAATTGGCAGCGTTTAGATGTGTCTTTCTCCTCTGTTTAGAATTGGCCAAGGACACATGGTGGCTTTGTGTGCAACGTCTTATAAACACAAGAAATGTGGATCAACTAAGCCTAATGTAGCATTAGTGCACATGAGCTCCTATTGATTTCCTGGTGCTCATTCCTAAAGTTGAGTAGTGTTCTCCTGAGACTTTCAAAGAGTTTCCGTTTTATATATGAATTCTAGTATCAGTTCATTGATGAATGAAAGCATCACTTTTTAAAGCTTTCAGTGTTTTCAGGCAGGAAAATGCACTATAACCACGTGAGTGGCTAACTGCCGGATTCTGTGTCATTGTCTGTTTCTTTCATAACACCCGGTGCACTTGGAATTTAGGTACGTCATGCTTTAGATACTCCAGGTACCTCAGTTGGTCTGATCTGTGTTGGTTTCAAAGGGAAAACTGAAGAGAAGCCACTATTGTGTGCATGAGTTTGGCGATGAGAACTATGATCTTCAGGAGCCCAGCTCTGTCCATGTGTGGCCTGGCACATAGCAGGCCTCTAACTTGCTTAATATATGGTTTACATCAGTACTTCGTGGTGGTTGGTCACCTGGTTTCATGGCATAGTGCAGATGTCTTGAATGAGCTTTTGTGAGCAAGAAAGGTAATCTCTCAGGTGACATTATAGCTTGTTAGAATGAATTACAATTTCACAATGAGCCACCAGTTCATCAGACGGTAATCTGGCCCATGTGACTTCAGCATGAAATTTATAAAGATTTTTTGATATGTACACGTTTGCTTTCTGCAGTTCCAGGCTAGGGGTGAATTGAAACCAATCGCCTTCATCTCAAACCAGGCATCAGTACTAGTTCCACCGATGTACTAACTATCCCTTATCATCAAGTTAAATAATTGTGAATCATTCCTAATTTCAGGAGGAGTGCTTTTCCATTAATGATTTTAATGATTATCATAAATAATTTAGGAACTGGCTTTGTGTTACACCAAAGCAGAAAATTTGAGCTGATACCTGAATTCCTTCTTAAGTTTTAATAATTGTAGTGCAGATCATGTTTTATCATTATATTTTTAGATAGAGGCTATGATTTCCACACCATTAGAAACTTTACTTTTAATATTTAGAAAGAATTTGAGCATTGTAGACTATCATTTCTAGTTTATTTGGCAGATGCTGAATTTGAGTTTTGAATTGAGTTAATGACAAGAAAAATGGGACATGTGGGATCCTGGTCCCTGACCTTCAGGGGTCAGTGGGGATTATCGATTACCTATCTCACTGTCTGAGGACTAAATGGGTGTCGTAGAGCATTGTGGTTGGCCCATAGGAGACACCTGATAAAGATCAGCATTTATTAAAATTCTGTGCTGCTCTTTTCCAGGATAAAATGTTTTGATATTTTAGGAATTCAAATAGCGCCCTGCCCCCCCCCCCCCTTTTTTTTTTTTTTTTTTTTTTTTTTTTTTTGGTGCCTGACTTAATGGGACTATGATAATAGTCTTGCTAAAGCTCTGGCTTTGTAGGTTTTTTTTTTTTCCATTTTCTTCTTGACTTTTTTCCAAAAAAAAAATTTTACACTTAGCAAAATGCTAAAACATTTTCTCTTCTTTATTCAGAGCATTTGAATATAAATGTGAAGAAAACTATTCATTATAGAATAACCTTGGGTTTATGACCCCATAACTAGGGAATGTCTCTTAGATAATAGGTACAGATACAGATGTCTGAGTTAATCTAAATACTTGCAGTTCTTGAGGAAATCCAGCAAGCAGACGTGCTAAATACTTGTAGAAAATGCTATAATTGAAATCATGGGTTGCATGAATTCTCCAGGGCAAATCAGTTTCTTTGGCACCTCTTGGCATTTGTGACAGTTACTGTAGACTGATTGCATTTATTAGAATATGCATCTGAATGTCCAACATACCATTTTTAGTTCTGAGTAGAGGGAGATGGTACTTAGGATTATACCAAGTCAAGGTCACAAAAACCTTAACAGTATGAGAATAAGGATTATTTTAGAGCAGGCAATAGTACGTGAACTCTTAGGAATATTCAGTTTAGAAATTCTCACTTATTAAAGGGTTGGTTTTAAGTAAATGAATTATTAATATATAGATAATGTTTTTCACTTTCTGGGGTCACTGGAGCAGGATCTTACATGGAGCACACACCTATCACATCAAAATTTCCTGGGCCCGTGATTAACAATGCAAATTTATAGGTGCCACCCAAGACCACTCAGAATGTGGAGGTAGGGCCCTGGCCTGCATTTTTAACCAACTGATCTGATCTTATGCCCACTAAAGTTGAGAACCTTAGTAGTCTACAGAAGCTATTTTTTAATAATTAGATGTTTATAATTTTTTAATTAGAAGCTGCTCCCTTAGATGCATTGGAAACATATTTTTTTCCCTACAAATAACCCTGATGTGATTAATTTTACATGCAACATGCTCACAGTTCTGTAAATCTGTTTAAACGATGGTGAGCCCAATTATCCTGAGTCTGTGCACCACAGCATGTAGAACCCAATCCCAGAAGGCCACATTTCAACCCTAAGCTCACGTTCCACGGAATGGTAGATGCCGAGTGGGTCTGAGTGCCGAGATGCCAGGCAGGCCAGCTAATAGACGATTATGACTCATAAATGGCCTCGCTCTGGGGTGTGTAGTCAGACTGAACACACAGTACCCCAGATGCTAAGTGGACTGTGTGGTTACTGCCATCCAGATGACCAGCCCACCCTGCGGACGTGACTGCCTGACGTGTGGCACCAGCTGCATAGATACTTTCAATGTTAAAGCAGGGAGACAGGTGTGTAATTCGTGCCTCCTCCCCTTCCAATTGCCAGTGTTCCCATATTCCCCCAACCAGGCTGGAAAACTTTAGGAACTGTTTCTATTCAGTTCTGTATTCCTAATTCTTGTTCCAGAATGACCATTATTATTTTAAGTTGTATTTTTTTCCCACTTTACAGATAGTAGAGCGAGAAGCAGATTTCCCGCTGAGCAGGGAGCCTGATGAGGGACTCCATCCTGGGACCCTAAGATCATGACCTGAGCTGAATCCGGCGCCCTTGTAGAACTGGGTATTTAGGAGCCCAACCAGATACTATGAACTGGCACCTGTGACTGTCGGCATGTCAAAAGATGCTGCGAAGTGTTCTCACGACGATAACACGTTTTCCTGTTTTCCCTTCCACCACTTACTTTGCACCACTGTGCCCTGCCTGTCTACTGCAGGAAGAGGTATGAAGGATGAAATGTAATATATATGGTACGGTTTGCTGTCTTAGGCTGTACAGTCAAGATCTCTGAGTCGCAGAGTGGACATGGAAGGGGCAAAGACCACGGCCGTGGGGTCTTACGGGGTGTAGAACCCATTCTCTCCCTGCTGGGGAAGGAGCCATCGGAGGAGACTTGGGAAGAGTGGTCCCTAGAAGCAGGAGGAGACCCAGGTGACGTCTTTAATGGCAACCCAGTCAGGGGAGCCTTCAATCCTGTCGAATGCTGCCCAGAAGTGGAGGAAGGGAGTGACGAGGATTGGCTAGTGTGTCTGAACACTTGAGTCAGCGGTGGTTGCATCTGGAGCAAACTTCAGTCTTGCGAGCATGTCCCCAAAGCTCAGCAGCCCCTGCAGTCTTCCCTGGCATCATCTCGCGGCTCATCTTAGTTTTCTTTCCCCTTCTTGGAGGAACCGGATTCTTTCTGCCCCAGAGATTTGGGACGTGCCGTTTGCCAGGAATGCCCTTCCCTTACTCCTGACTCAATTCCTCAGGCTATGTCGTTCTCAGAAAAACCCCACTGAGATTTCAAGAGTCTCTCCTCCCCTTCCCCATCATGCCAGATGTCACAATTTGCACTTACGTCCTAATCAGGTGCTTATTTTATTGCCTAAATTAGATTATAAACCCTGTGACAGAGATCATGCCCATTTTGTTTACCTCTCTATACCCAGTGCCTACCAGAGTGCCTAGCACATAGTAGGTGCTCAAGAAATACGTCCTAACACACAGCAAAGTGGACACTAGTTTGAGGTATGAAAGATAAATTATCTTGAAATTTTAACAACAATACAGTGCTTTGAATTGTTCACAAACAGGTTGGACCACCAACTTTGCAAACTGATTGACAGATTAATTCGTCTCCTTAAAAACTGCCATGGATGGTCCAGGCTGCGCCCACTGAAAGGGACCATTACCGATCTTCCGGGAGCCTGCCCTCCAACCAAATACTGGTGACCTGACACCCATATTTCCAAATCAGGATCCCTAGTTTTCAGCCTCCACATAATTTTTAAGGCCTCTGTTTTTGTAAGCTTAAGAAATGATGTATTTAAAAGATGACCTATAGTTAAAAAAAAAAAATCAGTCATGACAACAGCAGGCATGGTTTCTCAGTGTGGCGGAGGTGGTGGCGGCAGCTGGGTGCGAGTGGGTGTGGAGCAGGGGTGAGGTGAGAAGCAGAGGCCACCCAGAGGGGCAATGCACAAAGAGTTTTGCTGCAAGAGTATGAGGGGTCATGTATGGCATCAGG